ACTTTGTTATGCCGGGCTACTGGGGACATCATCTCCGCAACACGGTGGGAGCAGCCTTTTGCGCCGAGCAAGGCAGCGCGTTCGGAACGGACGACCACATCCGGCATGGCGCACCGTCCAGGCTGGCCGACCGGGAGAATGGGAAGCTCGCCTGTGCCCCGGATTCATGGGCATTGCCACTCGGGATAATCGCAACTTAATCTGCCTGTCGCCTCTGCCCAAGCTCCAACTTGTGACCCATGCCACGGGGTGCAGCACGTCACAAGCAGAACACGATCCCTTGGTGCAGTCTCTTGACACAGATCAGATGGGAAAATCGACTGCCATTGACGATGAGGGCTCCGTCTCGTCTGTTTCTTCCTGTCACCAATGTAGAGGAGACGTCCGCGAGAAGGGGCCCTGCATTGCGTCGCACGGCACAATGACATCGCCATGCATGGGCTAGCGCGCGCCGACTTGCTCAGGGCTGTTGTGTGTCTCCACGAGGGGATTGATCCTCCCCACCACCACCATCACCACGAGTGGGCCGCCGTGGCAAGAGGGTGCGAATAGCATCACAAGTCTTGGTGTCGACAGACAGGAATGAGGACAGAGGGGGCCAGAGACAACATGCAACATGCAAGTCGAGTGATCGGCATTGACCGGGCCACGGTCGTGACGAGCTCGTGCGTTCGTGTGCGAGTACGGTACATGCGGGCGAAAGCTTGTCGCCGCATGGTGAGACCACACGCCCAAGATGGCACGAGGTGTCGTCTTGGCAATCTCGATCCAGGGAAGGATTGGCGCGTACAGAGTGTACTGAGAGAGAAGACAGAAACAAAGAAAAAAAAACCTTGCTCGTGAGAACGACAGACCGGCTCCGAGGGTGCCGGCTCACGACTCGTGCCCTTGCTTCCAAGAGGCCGTTCGACCTGCGTGCCTGTCTCTGCAGTGCATCCGAAGAGTCAAAGGCAGGGTGAGGAGAGGAGGAGACATGCAAGTCGCGACGTCGCGCTCCCTCCCACCTCCATCGCCTACCTCTCTCTGTCTCTCTTTCTCTCTCTCTCGCGGGTGCGCAGTGAAGGTGACGCGTCTGCTCTGGATATGTCGCGGGGCGCCCAGGTCCGCCGATGGTGGGATGCAGATGCAGCCGAGAGAGACACACCGGGATGAATCGTAAATCGCTCGTTTCTATTTTTTCTTCTTCTTTCTGGCTCTTTGTTTCTTCCGTTCTGCTGCCTTTGTTGCTGGGTCTGGAGCCGACGGGAAAACAAAAAACAAAGGTGCCTACCTAAAAGGCAGATACGAGCACCGCCGGCAGTGGTGTGCCCCGCTGTCAAGGATGTAGTTTAGGAGGCCCTTCCCCTGGTCCCTTCCCTAAGCCCTGAGGTTCCTTCCCTAAGCCCTGAGGTCCCTTCCCTAAGCCCTAAGGTCCCTTCCCTGAGGACCCTCCCCTAGCCCCTTCCCCAAGGACCCTTCCCCCAGGACCTTCCCTAAGGACCCTTCCCCTAGGACCCCATTCAGCAGGGCCGGCGGCGCTTCGTATCAATCAGCGGTCGATCCCCGAGAATAGAAACAGGCGCGGCACCAAGACACGAGGGGGCACGACGGCACTGCGCGCCAGGCCCCGAAGGCAATGGCGCTCTCCATCGGTCGCTGGAAGGAGCGACCACGGCAGGAAGGCAGACGATGCTCCCGACTCCTGACCGTATCTGTCTCTGTCTGCAGACAATGGAGGGGTGTGTCGACATCGACCGTTCCGGCTGCTCTGATGGAAGGGTCCACGCCAGGGCAGGGGGGCCGCGGGAGAACAGGAACAACATAAACGGGCAGCGCAGCCTCAGCCACCACCGACCCGTGGACGCGCAGATGCGAGGCTCTATTTCTGTCCTGTGCATACCTACTACATGTAGGTACCTCACAGAAACACTGCGCTGTTTCGTTTCTGCTGTCGTCTTGTCGCGTGCGAGGGAGAGAAACGTTGGCTGCCGGGCTGGCTCTCTGCCTCGCCTCGAGGGTCAAGTAACCTCGAGGGTCAAATAAAGTAAAAGTACGACGACGCAGCCAGCCAGCCAGCCAGCCAGCCAGCCAGCATGCGGCCGCTCGTGTCCTCCAAGCCTGTCCCTGGTCCTCGTGCCGCTGTCCGCGCGCTGGACAACGTTGAGACATGCGTCTTTGCTCTGCACGTCGAAAAGAGACGCTGGCCCTGCCGAATCCCTCGCTACGCTGTCGGGCCGGGCGCGCGGCAGATGATTCGGGCCCCAACGTCCCTGGTCCCATCAGCCTGAGGGAGAAGGCAACAGATGCAGTGACAGAAGGCGCTGCGTGCTGTCCTGCTGCCCTGACCTGCCCGTGCCGTGCAACAAGCGGCGACGCCCAAGCCGCGTCCCATGTCCTGGCATGTTTGTGTCCCGACCTGACCTCGGTGCCCAGCAGGCACCCCTCCATGTACTTCACACTTTGCGTCGAGCACCGCTGACAAACCCCACCACGAACCATCACCATCCGACCAGGGAGTCAGCAGGCACCCAAACAGACCCCCCCTGCCTCTCCCTTCCCACCTCATCTCCCCGACCCGCGCAATGAGGCCACTGAGTTTGAGCAGAATTTAGCCTTGTCAGAAGAGGATCCCATACAAACGAAACGAATGGAAAAAAAAAAAAACTTTGACGTCCTGCAGATCAAAATGGGCTCCCTCCGGATCCCCAGGGATCACCACATCCAGGCTCCACGGCGATGAAACACGCGCGGCGGGCAGGCGGACGAGGACGAGGGGGGGCGCATTTTCGCATCGCATCAGTCGTACCCTACCTACATGCCAGCAGCCCAGCACGGACAAGTCAGCACGGACAGACGGCGCAAAGTTCACGAGCTGGCTGGCTACACGGCAAAAGGCAGAACGACCAGGAGGCTGTGCTGGCTGCAGGTGGATCGTTCTCTGGCACGCCCCGTTTGGGACTACTACAGCTACATGTAGCTACCTTGCAACGGAGAGATCTTTTCATCAACGGTGGCATTCAAATCATAACATGGTTTGGACCTGGGAGGCCAAGCGTTTTCCTCTCCCCTGCCCATCTTGGCTGTTGTTTGTCTCGGTCCCATCCATTGTCAACGTTTGTTCAGAGCATGGAATTCCATGAACAGGACACGTCACGCCCCTGTTGCGAAACAAGTGCTGCCTGCTCATCCCATCCCGGCGAGACCCTGTTCACCGGCGAAATGCTGCCGCAACAGAGCCCATCGCCGCGAGGTGGCCTGACGTCGTGGTGCAGTGAAGTGGTGCCCCTCTGGTGCATGTGGTCGACGCCTGCCCTGGATAAAGCTGGATAGAGGGGCTCTTGGAGCGCTCCGTGACGAGCTGGACCCTGGAATTTCAGGGTCTTTGGCGCTAACGCCAGTGTGGAACGTCCCAGTCCACGAATCCCGTACGCAGACCTCGCAGACCTCGCAGACCTCGCAGACCTCGCAGACCTCGCAAACTCGAACATTCGCGAAGCCACAGCAGGGTACCAGCATGACACGAGCGACAAGTCAGACTAGTGCAATTCTTTGATCAATTGGTATCTGGTATCTGATGCATCAAGAAACATGAAACGCTATCGCTTGGCCCACAGGATCGCAGATCGTGGTGCGTAAGATTGAGACAATAAGTAATGTGGTATCTCCGATGGCCCTCTCTCCACCCAACGCGCGATGCAACGCAAGGAAAGACAATCCAAAGCATGACATATGAAAATGAAGCCATTCCGACTCTTGCCTCCTTGGCACTGACATGCGGGCGACGTCAGAGGCAGGGGCGGAAAACGACCAAAGCCGACCGTCGATGCAGCAAGTGGACGCCCACGTCCATCGCTGATTGGCGCGCTCGTCGGCGCCGGCAGAGATGTGCCCTGTAGCCTGCATTTTTGGCTGCGGGACTTGTTCCCGACCATGGCGTGCAAGTCGAGGCCGTGCACTGAAGGACGTGACACTCCGCTGCGAGAGCCAGGTGACACATTGTGACAAGGTCGCCGGCGCCTCGGTCCAATGTGTCACTGACCACAGGGCGATTGACCGAAACCGTCCCAACGAACAAGACTGTATTGGTCGAGGTCTGGACCCGTGTCGGCCGAGGTGGGGTGGTAGTTGAGCAAGTGTTGTGACGCCCAATGGGATGAGCCGGGTTGGGTCAAACCACCGACCGCACGCGGCCCCGAGGCTTGGACGCACACAGCCACGGGCTGCAGACTGTGCGGAGTTCGGCTGCCACGGCGTAATAGAAATGAAAATGGGGGAGGAGAGGAAGAGAAGATATGGTGGAACGGGGAAAGTGTCGCGGTTGGGCTGTCAGGAACCCGAGACACGGGATTCCCTCGCAGCACCACAAAGAGATGAGGCGGCGAAAGCGAGCCTGCTCTGTGTCGATCATCGCACTGGGGAGGCCAGTCATGGTGACGAGGTGGGTTTTCTCCGGGATCCGTGCTTCCACTGGCGAGTCGCATCAGGTAGAGTGCACTCAGCTGTGTGGTGCTGGGCCCAGGAGACAACGGCTGAGAACCGAGTCATAGCCCCAAAGGTGGACCGACCAGGAAGCTTGGAGCTTGGAGCTTGGCCGGCCGTAGGGCATGGCGCTGTTGGTAGTGCCAACTCAATTCCCGTCATGCGTCGCGGTGTCCGGGTCCGATGCCAAAGTCCGACTTGGTAGCGTCGGATGGCTGTTGTCTGACTGGCCGCCATCTGCCTTTCTGGGCTTCATGCCTTGGGGCGAGGGCGGTTTGACGTTGGTGGCCGCTGGGATTGGGCAGACGTTTGCTTTGCCTTTCGTACTTTGAAAGATAGCGATGGAGCGTTGCCATGGCATTGTTGCATTGCGCATGGCAACGATTGTTGCCTTTTGAGAGGCTGCTGACGAGGGCGTCGTCTTGACAGCCCATCGCAGGTCGTGTTTTCGTTAAGAATCTGGGAATATTCATATTCCACAGTTGGTGCAATCAGTTCGTCGAAAGCCACGGGCTCGATTCCCGTTTTTCACACCGGGTCGTTCAGGTGAAGCCAGTCTTCTTGGCGCACCTCTCACAGTAGTAGAGATTGGTGGAGATGCGAACCATGCCGTATGAGCTGGGGTCGTCCGTTGAAGTCATCTCGGTGGCAGATGCGCACCGCATGCAGCGAATCGTCTCGACTGAGACGACGATGGGTGCCGAATCCATGCTGGGGCGGTACGAAGCAGATGCTGCGGAGAGATCTGAGTCTGAGCTGGAAGAGGATGAGGAGCTGCCGTAGTGAACAGAGGAAGGGCGTGCTGAAGGCATGATGGTGTATGTTGATGCCGTAGCAGACAGGCGAGAGTCGAGGTTGGTGGAGTGATCCAGGTCGATAGAGTTATTGTCCTATCCTCGGTGCTGATGATGTATCGTGTTGTGTTGGTGTTGCAGAAGAACGACTTCTTGGCTTGTGGTGTGGGAGCAGACCAGAGCAGACGGAGGGAGGGCCTGGCAGGGTCTTATGTGTGATCTACGGAAAGGGCCCCAGGCTAGAGGTTTGATCTCGGGCGGGATGGGGAATTGGGCAGGGCAGGCGCCTTCGACGTCGGTCGTGTCTAAGAAGGCAAGACAAGGGTTCGGCAGGCCAGAACAAGGATGGTGCACTTGTAACGTCAGGCACAAGGCAGGAGGGGGTGTGTGGGCTTGAGGGACGTGTCGGGGGTGGGCGGAGTGTTTTGTCCTAGGCTGCAGCAAACGGTATGCTGGGCCACTGCCACTGGGGGAGAGGTGTGGAGACGGTGGCTGGGTGGGTCGGTTGTCAGGCTTGGGAGCTTGGGCTGGTCTGTCTGCTGCTTGGCAACTGCTTGAGCGCTTCTTCCTGCTTGAACTATTCTGGACCAAGTCTGACGAGCGCGAAACGGATTGATACTGCGGGCGTAAATGTTGATTGAATTGATTGGAACCTATCGATGTGCCACTACCTAGGTATGTTGAGGATGAGGTGGCGCTGAAGTGGTGCTATCGTGGTGATGATTATCAGTGAAGCTGTGGCACGCACGTGAAGTCGCGGGAAACCGGTTGATGAATCGAGTGTCCAGAGTGCAAACCACGAAGAGGGCAAATGGAAGTGGCTTGAAAGGGCACACGCTCATGATATAATACCACAGGCATGTGCCCAGGCAAATTTCGCGACACAAGCACCAATGCCCAGGCTCCCGCGTGAAGGGCCTCGCATCGCGTTTTCGCTCTCGCATCGGTGTGGCAGAGAGCCAGATGCGCAGCAAGGACGCAACGGTCCGTCCAAGGGACGAAGGGGGGGCCCTCATCAGGCCAAGACAGGCCTCGCACGAATCTCGATGGACAACGGATCGACCGACGACCGACTACCTACTGTGGCGGAGAGAAACGGAGCTCATCGACCGTCGCGGACACAGAGAAGGCCCGCACTGCGAGATGCTCAGTTTCACCTTTTGTGTGGATACTCTGATTTGCTACCGAGGCAGGGCCACAAGTCACAAAGTGCCCAATCATGTTCCCTTTTTTTGGCCGTTTCCAGGAGGTCCGTCCGAACCGCTCCATTTGAAATCCCCTTCATTTTGACGGCTGATGCGAGGTTTTTACCAGCTATTCGGGCGCTCCGTTCGTGCCTTGACCCTGCGGATCCACGTCTGCAGGGCCCGTCGTGTCGTGGTGAGCCAGCCTGACGGACCAGAGTGAGTGAACCTAGCGTTTTGCCCTCCCACTGGTCCAAATTACAGTAGAACCCCCTTTCAAAGTCCTTCGTCAATGCCACTCGGTAATTGATGAACCGCTGTACTGGACAGCCCTCTAATCTCAATTTCACTCTCCCTCGCCCTCCCTCTCTCCTATCGCGCGACACAGGTCCACCCTTGCGACCCATGACCATACTAGGTTTGTGCAGTTTGCTCTTCTGTCGCCAATTGATGGCTGCACGACGAGGCAAGGAGGGGGGGGGGGGCGTGTACTGTAGGGAGCAGTTGTCATGCTGAGCCCGCGGCCGCCGAGAGAAGTCCGTCAGCCCGTCACATCCGCAGGCAGCGGCCGTGTGAGCCGTGGCCATGTCAGCAACCATTGCTGGCTATGACTCCGCGGTCATGTCAGTCGGCAGTAGGTCCAGCTGAAGAAGGGCCCGGGAATGGCGTCCGGGGCAGTTGGTCTGCCGCTGTCCGGCCGACTCGTTACCTAGAGCAGCTGATACCGTCGAAACCTTGTTTGGCAGGGGAAACCGTCGTCGTACGATACCGTAATGGATGGGTTGCATCTGAGGCGGTGCGTGGCGGTGCGCTGGGGCCGTTTTGATGTTCCTGTCAGCGCCGTCGCGAGGGGGAGCGGTGCCAACATAATGGAAGGACGTGGGGCCTTGATGGCACACCCATCTTTCGATTGCTGCTGCCTGCAGAAAGGGGTCCTTGAGGCGATGCCCCCCTTCAGCCCGATCCTCAGGGTCCTGTCTTACTGTTTGCTGGTTTGGGCCTAGGCCGGTCCGTTTCTGCCCTTCCAAGACGTCTTGGGATCGCCGTTTTGTCTTCCGCCCATGATGGATAAGGCTTGCGTGGCTCGACGTCTGCCGCTGCGTGATCTTGTCACTCACCCTCCAGACGTCGTCACTGTGCACCTCAACAGGGAACAACAGTATCATTGATGGCCAACAGCGATCAGTGAGCGAGTTGGGATGACGGAGGTGATCCATCGATTCTCCCGCCCGCAGATCTTTTCGTTGTCTTTTTTGGACAGCGACATGACCGTGATGAATCTCCCCTCTCCGATGGCGACGGCATCGCAGCAAGTCCCTGGGCGCTTGGCGGGGGGGGGGGGGGGGGTGTACCGGCACCTGTCAAACGGAGTTTTTGAGCCGTTCGACCCCTCTTTGGATCAACCCAATGGATCAACCCATTAAAATCATTTTCGATCCCACCTGTTTCTTCGATGCAACACGGCGACACGATTTCCCTCGGCAGTCTCTGACCCTTTCCCCCATGTTGCCACGACGGCCACTATCACTCGATCCTTGTGATATTGGAAGGAAACGGCCGAACATCCAATCACCAGAGTTTTGGCTTTCTTCACAACACGTTTAGCGTGGGACGACCTCCATCGGGTTTCGGGTGCTGATCAACTTTCCCATCCTGATTGAAACAGGAAATCACCCCGCTTGTGACCATATTTTCTCCCAATTACCCTTCATCCTTCAATACATGTCTTTGGTCTTCTGGTGACCAATCTCCCTACAGCGTCCGACAGATCTCGATGGAAGGATGATGCAAGAAAATGTTGGCTTCTGTGCTTTGAGGACCACCCCCAACTGGACCAAATGTGGCGACAAGCAGCGTCTTGGGTCCGCGTCGACCCCCTGCCCACAAGGCCACGGGTCCACGCGTTCGCCTGATCGCCCCTAGTGCACTGCATATCCGGCCAGATCGAAAGCATCTGGAATCGTCGTATGGCTCATCGCCCTCTTCCTCTCTCGTTGCTCGCTCAGTGCCCAACATTGGAGGAGAAGAATGATCGGCCCTGCACGACGAAGCCATCCTCCTAATATTCTGCCTGCGGACGTCCATCGCTCGATATTGCCTCTGCGAGCGATCTCTACGAGCGATTCCGCAGCCACCGGCAACTGTGCGATGGTCGTCGGACAACCAGGCCTCTGCTTCCTGCGAGTCCCTTTAGACGCGACCGCCATCGGATTCGGCATGGCCTGCGGCATGGATGTCCGATCGATGAAATGCCCTGCACAACGCTCAGGCTTCATTTCACCTACCACCTTGAGGTGTGCACCAACCGCGGGCGAATCTGCCTACTGTGACCTGGGCTCTCTCACCCGAGCAGCACATAAGCATCGACTGGCATGAGCGCCCGTCTCCTATCCATCATTGCAACGCGTTTGCTCATGACTGGTGCCCATGACGGGACTGTTCCGAGCAACACGGTCGACAGCTTTTAGCTTCGAAAGGCTAACCAGGAGAGACATAGCACCGATGCCCCTTGGGCACACACTTTTCTAGTGCTCGACTTGCACAGTTCGTCCACCGGAACACATGCCGCAATTGGCCGGACATGTTGTCCACTATGCCTGTTGGGACATGGCGTTGATCCCGGTATGATCAAAGTTGAGATTTGACTTGCAACGGCCTCCAAGGTTGACCGATTGTGGCGCTGACAAACCATCTGTCACCTCCTCCTCTAGGTTTTCACCATCTTGTCCGTTGCTGTGCACTACCAGCATCGCAACGCTTGATGCCATATCGAAACATCAGACGGGAGGGGCAAGACGGACTTCACCAAAGGCAATATTTTTGCCAACGATGGAACTGTTTTGTTGCGCTGGGCCCCTGCACATTGGACTTTTGTCCAGAGGCGTCAGCCGCAAAAAGGCGGAGACAGGTCTGGACCTCGCTTGCCGCAACAACGTGACACCAGCCACAGCCGCCACCTCAGTCTTCTGAGGTTGCAGACAGTCTCGACCTTTGAAGCCTGCGATGTGACAGCGTGCGGAACGCCACCATGGGCAGCCGCTCAAGTGCCCCTTCGCTCTCGTCTCCATCCTCATGCCACCTCGCTCGCGAGCCGGTCTAGACCTTTGTCTGCTTCAGAGGGGTGTGAGCGTAGCATACGTCTTACCTCCCTCCTGTCGACTGTTCTGGACCTGGACATCTTATCTTTGGGACCACAAGTGCAAGCCCGCGGCCTGGACCGGACTTCTGCTCGCATATCTGGTCGTCGTCGAGATGTTGCTGCAGTCCTTCAGGAGGGTGCTGCAAGGGCGTGCTGCGATGCGCGCACTAAACACCTGACCCAGCCAACGCTCGGTACTATCGTGTGCCGTGAGCTGCTTTTGCTGCCTCATCCGACCGAAACACACAAATCTGGCTCGGCAAAAGGCTTGAACTTTGTGTGCGTATGTCAAAGGCAAATCGCCCCGGTGTTAGCTGGTTCTGGCCCCCAGGTGGATTTTCAGGGCCCGATCCGAGGACAGGGCTGCCCCAGCTCTACGGCGATTCATTCCCGTGGAACGTCCGCGTCGTGGATTTGCTCATGGAATTTGAGGACATTACGGAGCTTGACGACGGGGGCTTTTGGAAACTCGCCGAGCAGAGGCTACCGCCTTCACAAACTTGGGACTATCTTGGATCAAACACCTTTCCGTGGTGGGCATATTCAGCTCGTAAGATTCTACATTGACCTCGCCAAATCGATAGGATGAAGCCCTTATACACTGCAAGGGCCCAAGGCCTTTCACGCCCGAGGCTCGACCCAGCTGGGTGATTGAGGCGGTTACTGACATGGAGCGACGACGGCGAGGCCGGCCGCAACGAAGGCTCTGAGGCGTTTTCTACAAAAAAACATAGCTCCGCTTGTGATCTTGTGACATGAGATGTGTCGGGGCAGGCAACGAAGGCCAGGTTGGCATTGGTCGATTGATGGTGCCAGCGACGTATCGCATTGGATTTGGACAGTGATTCCATGTCGTCACTATGGTTCTGGGCGAGGTCTGTGTCACGTTCCTCCGAGCTGTAGTGGGAAAGCAAGGTAACAACGCAAGAACTCCGACCAGACAGCGTTATATCCGCCGAGGTTTGGCGTCAAGTCTATTGTGCTGTGCGTCCTCCGCAAAGACGCGAGGACAAGTGGCGAGCAAAACAGCGTCAACCTCCGACTTCTCCTCAGGGTAGGATACGACAGCTAACCACTCCTTAGGGTTTGCAGGGTTACCAATTTCTAGCCACGGCTCTCCGACTACTCCTGTGCTCATAGCCGCTGTCGCTGTCGCTGTCAATAAAGGCAGTTGGCGTTCTATCGATCCAGAACAATTCACCTGTGAGCAGTTTCAAACAAACTATGACATGTGCTTTGAAGAAAATATATGCTCGAGACGACGGTATCGCCATGTTCTCATGCCCCATTGATGTCTAGAGAATAAGACAACAATAGAAAATCAGACCTCGACTTCAAATGGCTTACAGGCCAAGAATCCCAATGGTGACACATCCATCTATTGCTTTATCCTGGATGCTGACGTGTCCGGGAGTGACTCCGTCACCGGCCGAACGGCAGCAAACTCACAACACCCGCGACCTCACCGCGATATTCGATTATCTGACGGCACAACCCAACAGAAACATGTTGAGCCGTGACCTAGCTCGCCGGGCATGAATGCGGATCCACTCCAATCCTTGTGCTGACGAACAAATGGTCGATTTGGACCAGCGCTTGACAGGGAAAGCCTCCGACCCTGGTGAGGACCGTTGGGGACACGACTGTCTTTTGTCTGGCTATGTCGACAACGCGGCAGTCATGGCTCCCTTGGTCATGAATTGGCGTGGAAGGCCGCGCGGATGTGCTGTCCTCAGGGAAGGACTTTTGTTGGGTAAAGTATCGTGAAGGACGATTGACTTGCACACCAACTGGAGTGATCTAGACACCTATATAAAAAGTATGAAACCTGTCTCGAAGATCATCATTTGCGACATCGCAGAATCAGAACAACTGTAGTCATTCTCCACAGATAGCCATCGCACAATGGCCAAACAGCTCACCCCAACGAACAAGTCGCGACTCGACCCGGAACTCGGCGCTATATTGTCGACCCTGAAGATGGGGGAAAAGCCAGGAAGCGAAGTAGACACACACCAGCTTCGAGCATGGTTCGAAGGGCTCATGGGCAACGTGATGCGCATACTTCCATACCCCGAACACATACACGAGACCAAGATCCCGATCCAGGCCCGCGATGGCACGACCATGACGCTGCACCGCTTCGCGACCCACGAAATGGCAGAATCGCCCACGCCCCAGCCCGCCGTTCTCCACGTCCACGGCGGCGGCATGATCAGCAGCAGCGTCTCCCTGTACGCCCCCGCCATCGCCAACTACGTCGCTCGCGCTGGCGTCCCCTTTTTCTCCGTGGAGTACCGCCTGGCGCCCGAGCATCCCGGCGACGGTCCCGTCACGGATGTCTATGCCGCGCTGGACTACATCTCTGCGCACGCTGGCGAGTGGAACGTCGACCCGGCGCGGCTGGCTGTCATGGGCGACTCGGCGGGTGGCGGGCTCGCTGCCGGGGCGGCCCTCTTGGCAAGAGACCGGAAATTGACGCCGCCTCTCGCGAAGCAAATCTTGATCTATCCCATGCTCGACGATCGGACGGGGTTTCGGGGCGACGGAGCGCTCGACCCGTACCACTTCTGGACCGCCGCGTACAATCGCACGGCGTGGGAGGCGGTGCTCGGCGCGGGCAGGGCGGGGGCCGCCGATGCGGAGGTCCCGATCCACGTGGCGCCGGGACGAGCCCGCGACTTGTCGGGTCTACCGTCTACCTATGTGGAAATCGGAGGACTTGACCTCTTTGTCGGTGAGACGGCTGCCTTTGTTGAGCGGCTCGTGGCCGGGGACGTGGATGTTGAGTTCCATCTGCTGCCTGGACTCGTACACGGGTTCGACTGCTTCGGCTTGTTGAGCTGGGCGCAGAAGGCGATGGAGGCCAAAGTGAGAGCCCTGAAGAGCTTCTAGCGCAGAGATCTCGAAGCTGCTGTGGTGAGCTGCTGTGTGTCAACAGTCTACCGCATTACTGTCTGGATTCGCCAAGCATTCATGAGTGACAGCTTTCAATTTATTAGGATATTGTATCTGATGAAATCGCCCAATGATCCGCATGGTTGCTCCTGTAGCTGGCCTACACAGATCTCGTGAGCATTCCAGGTTCACCCCAATGGCAGGTGACAAGCCTCCCCCAGGGCTTGTACGTCAAGCAGGGAACAAAGACAGCCCATTCTACCGCACTCAGATTTTCGCTGGTTCGTGTGTGTACTCTACAGGAGGGGGGGATGAACTCAATCAGCCGGCCCCATGCGAACCCCTACGGCGTCGGCGGGGAGTTTCTCTGTCCATTTCAGGATGCATCTCTTTGCCCCAGGAGATCAGGATGCTGTAAGATCTTGAACCACTGGTGCCTGGATGTCTTGGCGGCACGAGTAAAACGCATCGTCAAATCGGTCGAGAACGCAGCATAGAGGAGGCGGGAGGGCGGGACAGAGGAAGTCCTCCATCTTGGCGCATCCGTTCGTATTGACTACTGTCCCGCGGCGGCGCAGCATGCTCTGAATGACCTGGACGACCCAGCGAGCTGCAGAGTCGCCCAAAGTTCCACTACATCACAGGGCTGCATGCACCGCTGGTCCGAGGGAAGGATTCGTGGTCAGGCGCGAGCACTGTTAGGGGAAGGCCGGGACCCCAGCTCGAGCGGCGGTGGCGGCGGCGGCGGCGGCGGATGGACGCAGCGTCCCAGTTTCCCCGCGGCTCAATTCAGCGGAGCGTTCGGGTGCCTTTTGCGCTGATTTCTGAGGCCCTATTTCTGCCTCCGCGAACCGGATAAGCCGGGGGGTAATGCTTGGATAGGTGGTGTTAATGGCTACGCCGCAGGCTTGCATGGGGAAGCGCAGGCGCGCTTCGGAACACGACTGATCCCCGTCCAGGCTCCAGAGAAAGCCTGCCGTTTAATTGTCTCCAGCGCGGCGATGGACGTGCCCCATAGCGTTGTAACGTGGCGATACGTGGAAAGAATGTTGCCTGCGGGCGTACTCGCCGTCACTGTCCAGCCGGTGGCGTCGTGATCCCTCCACTCGGCAGATGTCACGTCTTCGAGTCCAGGCATGGCGGGCTTGGCGCCTTCTTCCTCTGGTGAGTTCCTCCTAGAGATGCAGTGATGGATACGATGGCGAATTTGGCGACCGAGATCCGGCGGAGTGGACAACGTACCCTCCGAGGGCAATTAGTTCAGTTTCCAAAGTGCTCTTGATCATTTTGTGCGAGCCAAGTTGAGAGTGTAGCGGAAAGACATGATCATATTAAGGTTCGGACGAGTTTGGATTTTGCCCTCAACACTCTGAAGAGACCATGGCATTGCAGTAATAAGCGTTATATTGGGGGATTGACACCCTCCCTTGGCAGCTGCGAACCCATGTTACTGAACCTGGCCTCCCCTGCTCTATCTATCGTGTGCCAAGAAAGCAACATCGCCCATAAGGGGTAGTCAGGCCGATATGTCGGCGCCCCGTCAGAGGCAAACATCATGACGTCCACAGCGCACCTTCCTGGGCCTTAAACCCCTGCCGGTGCTGTAGAAGATGACAGCCGCAAGCTTGCCAGAGATACCGGAAAACGAAGCAGAGGGTGTGCATCAAGTGTATCCGTCTCGTCGACGTGCTCCATGGGATGCGGATCCTCGGCGAAGCAGCATATCATCTTGCAGCCGAGCAAGAGCTCAGTGCTCTTGAGCGTCTGGCCATATCGCTGCCTGACACGTTTCATCCACGGCTTGATTTGCAAAACAGAGTGGTAGCAGTAGACATCTGGCTTGCCACGGATACCAAACACGAGCTTATTTGCAACGCAGTAATTCCAGGTGGTCACAAGTTGCTGTCGGTGGGCGCTGCCGTTTTGGTCGGCAAAAGCCGAGAGCTGGATGCGTACGTAGCGGAAGGCCATGTCGTCTTCGGTCGAACTGACATACTTGTGGCTCAGGTGACCCAGCTGGTCGTACAGGTGAGACATGCGATAGGTACTGGTATGATCGTAGAGCATCGAGAGATCCATCCATGTCCTGACGGCGAGTGGCGACTGTGATCCATAGGTGGACTCAATCTCCTCAGCCACAGATGGCATGGCATTCCAAATGAGACTTGAGAGGGCAGCAGGGCCGTGCTTCTGTCTTATTTGGTACATGTTGGTGAAGATTAGCCGGAGCGGGTGCAGCCGCTCGTAGTTCCTGGTAGCGTACGCTGCTAGATACCTGGACAAGGCCGTCATCATGCCGGGATGTCGATTTGACATACCGAACAACAGTTCCTTGATGCCTTGCGTGGAAAGCTGCCGTAGGTCAACCTCTAACCGCCGGAATGCGTGCATGAGGAGATTGCCGGCCAGGTCGTTTCTTTGTCGTTCGAACAACTTGCTGGCTTCAAACAGCATGTGACTCGACCCGGCACCCCACAACAGCAGCGACGCCCATCCGTGCTGATGGGCATCACTGCGTTCATTCTGCTGACAGTGCATCAAAGCCTTCCTCATATTGATCACGAGGATCTCCTGCGCGCGTATGAGGTCTGGTGATCGCAAATAACCAGGTGCTGGGGGTGGGGAAGGCGTACGAACGCGAATGTGCGAGGGCAGTTCCGACGCCGTGTCAAAGTCGACGAGGTCATATTCTGTCACACCTTTGCGCCTAAGATAAGTCGCCAGGTTGACGACTTTGCCGTTGCGTGTAAACTCGGATATTTTGCCCTCTGCATCTCTTTCGAATTTTGTCGACAGTAGCATCTTGACTTCGTCCTCCGTGTTGTTCTTTACAAAACCCCACTGTGAGAACCTCGTCTTGTACATTTTGGGACTGGCTTTTGTCAGCGTGGTACGCATTCGCACGGCGTAGGGTTGTATGCTAACGTTGCTTCGAATCCGTGTCGCTCGTTCATTATGCGGATGACTTCCTTCAACGGCTTGCGTTGGTCGAGATATAGCTCTCGAATTGTTGGCTTGAAAACCTCCCACGTTTCGGTTGGAACTTGTTCCCGAGATGGGCGACTGGTGACACGCTGTTTTGAGGCTCCCTTTGATTGGAGGCTGGACTTTCGTCGCATCTACTCTCGTCAGTCTCGGATCCTGGAAATGGACCTGGGGGTTAACCTTTTGGGAAGTGTTACTTGTATGGACCCCGGAAGAACTCGGCGGTCGATGGGTTGAGGCTGGTGCTGACTCTTCAAACGACGTTGTATGAGGCAATGAATCATGGGCTACTTGATCCGTAATGTCGTCAAAGCTCTCGATGGTGCCTACCGACCCTCCAGTATGCGGGAAAGATGACACAGTTGAGAAGGATGGGTCCATCCAAAAGCCAGAGCTGCCATACTGGGCAGGCAAGAGCCCTTCGGCAGTGGTGGAGGGCATCGATCCCGGAACATCGACGCATGATGTTGATGGCTGAAGGGGGATGCCCAAGCTTGGATCCAGATTGTATGCTTGGTACAGTCTGTGGGTGTCACTGACGTCAAACAAGTTTGGCAGCACGCCTTCGGACTGGGTTGCGCTGTAGAACGGGTCATCATCTGGGTATTCATGGCTTCCAAGGTCGTCGGCAGCAAAGTCTGCAGGCTGGGTGAGTGAATGTGTCCAGTCGTACGAGGTACTGTACTCGTCGCAAGTTGTTCTCTCCCGGGCATGGAAAGCCGGGGTCTCGCTTGGATAGTGATATGGAGAGTAATACTCATTTGGCGTGCCTTGGACAGACCTGGCTCCATGGCCGTGGGACCGAGACTTGTTGTGAGCGGAGCTGGAATTTTGCGCCATCGAGCCGCCCTGCAAGTGCTGTCCGTTCCGTTGGAAGCGAACGTTCGCAAGCTGTTGTTGGTCGGTTTGCGAGAAACCGTGCCAAAAGTCCCCTCGGTAGATGTGGGCGCGGTTCTTTGACGGGAGGGCCCGGTTGCCGATGTGCGTCGTCTGCCGCGGATGCACGCGAATCAGGTGAAAGAGCCATGTACCGTTTTGAAGAAGATGGAGAGAGCCGGCAAGGAGACGATTGAGTCGTCTTCGTTCCGTTTAGTTGTGGTGATGATGGCTCGACAAAGTATTCTGGAAAAAACTATCATGTCGAGAGGTTTGGAAGGCCCTCCAGCTCATAAATGCACCGCTGACCAGTGTCTATGTAGACACGTACCCCGGAAGGGAATCGGAGTTGCAGATGCTCAGTCTAGAGCGACCCGCGTGTCCCCGGTTTACTGGATTCGAGATAGTTCTTACCAAGGAATAGATGGATCTGCCGGCGGTGGACAAATGAAGCAGTTGGGAGTTGGCCACAAAAGGCGAAAGCGATTACCCGAGTCCGACATGCCGTGCCAAAGACCCAGACTCTCATATTCCCAGATCCCGGGCCCCTGTTCCCACCCACCCTTGATCGAGAGTCTACAGCCAGGCCAATGTAAACCCTGGTTGAGTGCGCGACAGGCGCCAGATGCAAGAGGTTCATTCGCCTAATTCGGCCCCCAAGTTGCATAGCCGCCGCCCTAACAGAGCCCTGGGCATGATTGGCGGATTGACGACCAGAGTGCCAACGGGAACGGCATCTTGGAGGATGGCGATCGGTTGTCGTTCGACAAGTTGCGGTGGATTCTTCCTTCAAGATGGTGGCGATCCATGTCGAGAACCTGCACCACGGTTCAGGTAGACTTTCTGACTAGACGTTCTGACAGGTGGGCAGACGAACTGAGACAGGCGTAGGGCTGGCTACTAGCGAAAAGCACAGCTCACCCGCACAAGGCGTGTGGGTTGAGTGGGTCTGAGGGATAGCGAAGCTTTGCGGCAGGCGGGAAGCCCACATGCAGTAGGACTCGGGCCTGGTTTTGTTCGAAGAGGATCATTTGAGTTCGACTTGCTCGACCCTGTTGTCTGGAACTTTTGCAGTCCCACCAAATCATTTTTGGAGGCAGACTATGCCGGCCTTGTCGTGAAGTGCTTGAGCTAGGCTGGGCCTCGGGCATGTTGATGATCACAAATCGGGATGGTGGAGCAATTTCTCTGACGAGGTGAAAGGACGATGAGGCCTGATCAAGGTAGGATCCTTCGGCTCCGTTGTCACGATGGTCCACGGCGGCCCACAGCGGATCCCCCCCCCTCCCTCCCACACCACCACTCCAGATCTGAATACGGAGAAGCACAGGGTCCTTAATTCTGCAGCCTAGTCACGACACATGAGGAGATGGTTCGTGGGCGGGTTACAGCCGAGCTTCATGGTAGTCGCAATGCCGGTGGAGTTAAGCCTTGAGGCCGCACCTTGGACATCGTAACTAAAAGCCGCAGGGTAACGTAGCAAAGACCGAGATGAACGAAGATTGATTGTCTTGGCCGCTGCTGTGCATGATGACTTTTTACACTTCTAGAGCATCTGATGTCCGAAATGCAGTGCGTAGACATGGTTAAGTGCCTGGTTCACGGTAGTCCGCGGATCCGGAAGGTGGAACTCGGCGGATCCGATCTGGGATTTGGTGAAGTAGTATTGGGACGGACCTGGACAGCTCCTTAGGCCCCCAGTTTGGTGATTTGATGTAATTGGGTTGCTCGTCAATTTCAAAGGCGCTCTTCGTTACGCAAGCGGTAGATGCGCCCGGCGGATCGTAAGCCAGGAATCCGAATATGCGTCAAAGAGGCGTATCTATTTCTGGCGATAGGTGGCTGTTATGCCACTATGGACTCTGGTCAATCGTGGCGACTCAGAAATCATTGACAAACCATTCTGGCCTCACTGTCAAGCTAGTTCCAGCAGCTGCAGGCGCTGGGGGGCGTCACTTGGCACTCACAAGTTGAATGCTCGATGATACCTTGATGACGGCGACTGTCGGTGAAGCCTGATGTAGTACGTGGCAATTGACTTCATAGTTGTGTGATTGGGACTTGGTTCGAACCGTGACAACCACAACAATCGGTGCAACCTCAGCGGCAGTGAGTGTACAGGCTTTCGGGGCGTCGTGCAAACATGAATGCGCTGTTTGTGGCGCGATATGAGTTGAGGACACACGTATCCGCCGCGATGCGTAACACCGACAGCTGTTTGATATTGCAGTCCTCCATCCGGACTTGGATCATGTTTGGCCTGCCCGTGGTTACAGATGTGAAGGCGCGCAAAGCTGACATGCGAATCCATCATGTCGCACGATGAACAGAGCCTTCGAGGGTCGGTCCGAGAGCCAAGGCAAAGACGATATTGTTCCCTGCCACTGGATGTCTGTCTGTCCAAGATATTTACGTTCTGAAGTAGTTGACTGTTCATGAGACGGCAGGAGCGTCCAATCCAACCACATGGAATGACTCCCAAGGCGGTGAAGAAGCTGGGGCGAAGCTGAGGCGAAGCGGAACCACGTGAAACCGGCAGAATCCCCATGTGACGTCTCTTATCTCTTATCTCCCCATGTCAGGCACCTGAGCTCCCAGCTCCTAGCTTCCAGCTCCCGACTCCTTCGCGACGAACTCTCGACCTTCTGCACTCTTGCGAGTTCAATCCTTGATCATCTATTCTCAATTACACTATACTACATATCAGCATCATACATACTGCAGTCATGGCGCCCCAATTCTCCCTTCGCGGGCTCTTTAGCCATGCGGCCGAGTTCCTATCTCAGGTCCCCATCTCCCCCTCCTCAGGGTCCACCAGCCTCACGCCCTACAAACCACTGACGAGCGCCCCCTCCTGCCCCATCGACGGACCGACGAGCTGCCTCAGCGCGCCAGAGGACGGTGCGTCTTGCTGCTTCGTGGCACCGAGCGGGCGGATGCTTCTGACGCAGTTCTGGGACCAACAAGTCCACGCTGGCGGCTCGGAGCGCGATTGGACGGTCCACGGACTCTGGTATGTGATGACTCTTGGACGGAGGGCGGAAGAGAGGGGGGGATCAACAGACTCAGTGAAGCACAGCCAGCCAGTCAGAAAGGCAGGCAGGCACACACCCTGACAAACAGCTGACAGCGTCATCACAGGCCGGATCTGTGCGATGGAAGCTACAAGGCCTTCTGCGGAATGACGCCGCACTTCAACAACATCACCGAGATCCTCGTCGACCAGGGCCACGAGGATCTCGTCAAACAGATGAACAGATACTGGGTGGCAGCGTAGTGCGTATACTCCCCCGGTCAAACCTGGACGGAACCTTTGACGCCTTGTCACCCGATCATGGCTTCACGTGCGCCGGGAAGGGAGGCTGACCAAGTTCACAGTGGCTCGAACGACCACCTCTGGGCCCACGAGTACAACAAGCATGCGAGCTGCATCAACACGCTCGCGCCCTCGTGCTACGCCTCGGCCTACACGCCCGGCGCCGAGGTGGCCGACTACTTCACCCGCGCTTTCGGCCTCTTCCGCACGCTCAACACGTACGCCGTCCTGGCCGAAGCGGATATCGTGCCGTCGCGCGTCCACAAGTACCCCATCAAGGCCATTGAGGGCGCGCTGGAGAAGCACACGGGGGGCAAGGTCGTGCTGCGGTGCAGTGGGCGCGGCGGCTCGGTGCTGCACGAGGCGTGGTACGCCTTCTTTGTCAGGGGCAGCTTGCAGACGGGCGACTTTGTGCCCGCCGAGACGTACGGGGAGCACGGGGACGCGAGGAACTGCGGCGAGGAGGTGTGGTATCTGCCCAAGGTGTGCCGGTTGCCTGGGGGCTGCGCTGGAGATGGCGAGCTCTGACGCGAATCCTGGCTGAGTAAGTTTGTTTCGTGGGGGGTTCTTGTCTTGTGGTGTCTGGAATGGGATTTGTGAGATGTCAGTTTTTTTCCGCATAGATAGACAGGATCGATATCAACAGATTGCGCATCATCCGCTCCCAGTCTCGGTACTTGTTCGCAGTGAAACATGATGGCCTAGGCGACAAGCACGGCACTTGGTGAGAAAGGAATGCGCGGCCCATCCGGGAAGGCGCAGGCCAGCTGAACGGGCCCCATTGTGTCCTCCGGGGAAGTGGATCAAGCTGTCTGCCGGCTCAAGGTCCGAAACCTGATCACAGAGGGTCATCCGGGATCAAGGTCAAGTCCGACAGAGGGAGGGAACGAAAATGACGCTTCGATGAAAGATCCCAAGAACGCGGCAGCCCCATCCATCGCGCGCGTTGTCCTGCAGAGGTCTTGGTGGTGGGAAGAAGAAGAACAAGGTCTTGGAACCACACGTCTTGATGAAGATGGAGCGTTGAAGCCGCATTCCACTCGAGGCAAATAGGGTGCCAATCGTCGAGGTTGCAACAGCGTCAGCCTTGCAGCTTCACAGACGCCTCCAGAGCGGTTTGTGCAACAGCCACTGAGAATGGCCTTTTCGGACCGATGGCGCAGCGCTACGGCCGCATCGGGTGTAGCGCCACGAGGGGAGCGCCATCATGAGACACGATTGGCTTGGTGCGTCTTTGGGCTTTCGCGGAGGCAGGTGTGCTCCAGGTTTTCCTCCCCGACTTTTCGGCTGCACTGGCGGCGTTGCTTGGACGTTGCGGGCGACCCATGACGCCCAAGGTCCGTCGCCTGATCGAGATGGCTTCTAATGCCAGTTCTGGCCTCCAGCTCGCTCATCGCCACGATGCACGATGGATGAGGGAAAAAAAAAGGGGGGGATGAGATTGATGGTGAGCAGACAAAAACCGCTGGGTTCTAGTGGCTCAGCCAATACGACACGGCGCTACTGGGCTCGGGACGGCCGCCTGTCACAGCCTTTCTCTTGCTGACCTGAGTGGGCACAGGCACAGTGTGAGATGTAATTCAAGAGGACAGGGCCCGGCACAGTAACCACGGCACTGTAGCACCATTATCCAGGCCACATGCATCATCAGGTCATCGAGCCGCCAAGCACAGAAGGCCGTAGTCGACCTTGCTTGCACCTCCTCCCATTCAGCCTGTCTGTCGCCCGAAACTCTCTGCCCACCACGCCCTCACGAGACCAGCCATCGAAATGGGGCTCGAACTTGACTCCAGGTCACACAACTAGCCCAGCCAGGATAGCTAGCCCTGTTCCGCAAGCGTGCATTGCTTTTTTCCCGAGTTCCGCCCTGCCCTCAGCATCTTTTGGGGCCGCTGCTTGTTTTTTTGCTTGCTTGAGCTGGCAGGAGACTGGGGCGGAGATGAGTGTGATCTGTGCGGAGGAACAAGCGGCATACGGGCTCGATAGGCGTGCCGTGTTATGATTCTCCTCGTTCCTGCGCAGCCAGCACACAAGCTTAGAAGGTATTGACTGACGGACTGGCTTGGCTGGCTACCTGTCTGTCTGCACCCTTCCTGCCGCAGTCAGCCACTCACCAGCTGCCCGCGGGCCCTGTCAGGGAGACCGGGGGAGCCGGAAAGGTGTCTCGTACGGTGGTTCAGATGATTCGAATGCGTCCTGGTCTGCCATGGCAGGACGAGCTGAACGGAAAAGAGGTTTGGGCTCGCAGCATGCTCTTCTGAGACGGTGATCGTCGCCGCGTTCGTGACGAAGCAATGGGACACATGCCATGATGTTGATTCAGGAGCGGGATCCCCACGCGGCACATAGAACACAAACACATTCGCACGCAAGGGGGACGTCGAGCGGAAAGCAGCCGGAGAAGGTCTGAATCCCCCTTGATCCATGACATGAACCCTTAGTGGCGGGACGGGGGAGGGCTCCATAGCGGCGAGAGCGAGAGAGATGCGGCTGGCGCCATGTAAGTCAAGGAGAACTGGCAAGACAACCACCAACGCAGACAAGGTTTCGAGCCACATTCCACCTCGAGCTTCTGGCTCTTGACCTTCTCAGGCTGCTCTGAGCCTGCCTGCTAACCCCGACGCTTGCCAAGCAATACGTCCCAAAGTTGTTGAATGGCAGCTAGCTAGGCGTATCGTACTGAGACATCTGGGTTTCTTGGGAGGCAGTCGTTCGTCTTTTTGGGAGAGACAAGGGAGTGTGTGTGACATTGGAGATGCATGCTGCGATAAACGTCTCAACAAGGCAACCGATTACCGGGACACGTTGTGCGGTCATTTTCGACAACATGGATGTTCTTTCAAGCTGCGCGTTGTTCTTTTTGGCTGTTGAAGCCGAGGCAAACAATAAGCGTGTGGGGGAAGGGAAGGGGGCCCCGGGGGTTGAATGCCGGTGTCCGTTGCAACGGGCCATGGCCTCGAACTCTCTGCGTGCAACTGAGTGGCAGACCGCTCACCTGTAGCCTCAGTTCTTTTGCGGCTTCAGCGGTCGTTACAGGTGGCATGCCGCCTCTTCTTGGGGAGGGGGGCAGTCGCCAGCGCTCTCCTGAGTCAAGCACCGTGTCAGGAGCCGTGCGTCATGTCATCTCTCTGCATTGGACAGTGGCCCAAACAGGTGGAGCATGGATATGGCGGACTCACAGTGTCCTATCCCTCCTGGTGCCTCTGTCACGCAGGCAGCACACTGTGGTCACATCCACAGCCACTTGACACACACTGTAGGGTACCCACACCGTACCGCGCCAGGCCGCTCCCCATTTCCCGTCCCTCCCCCTCCCCTTCGACTCTCCCCCAGCCTGCCTAGTCCAGCTGGCCGCTGTCCAGTCAGTCGCTGCCAGGGCCAGGGGACCCCCCCCCCCTCTCGACTCCGGCCCACACCCTCCACTCTTCCCCGTCCTTCTTTTCATCCTCCCAAGGCCCCATCCGTCCCATCGCCCCCCTGCGACTCTCTGGTCCCATTCATCACTCCTTCATCCTCTTCCCCATCGACAACTCTCGACCAGCGCAACCATCAACACCGGCCTTGGATGATTGCTGTATTGGCAACAAACTCGTGTTGTCCGTCGACCGCACAGACACCACGAGGCTAACGAAGATCGAAACGTCCGAAGAAGCCATCATCCCCGGATTCGCAAATTCGCAGCGCCCCCCCGCGTTTTGTGCAAGCGAAGCAGGCTCTGTCGTGCAGGAAGGGCCGAATACTTCTCGGTCAAATCGCTCTCTCTCCACGATTCGCTCCCACCCCAGCCCAGGCGACCCAGAACTCACGCTCCTTTCCCCGCAAAGGCCCAATCCCACCTCGAACTCAAGTGTTCAAGTGCTGCAACGACAACTCGTCGTCGCCCTCAAACCGTTGATCCCCGTTTCCGGCGTCTTAGCTGACACGCCTGACCTGGGAGAAACACCGAAAACTCTCACCAAAGTCGAACATTCGGGCATTCTGTCACCCCCAGACGCTCAATCACACCGGTCGACAACAACCGTTGACACGTTGACTCGGACGCTATTCTGACACACTTGTCCTCTGTCGCTCACCCTCGGACGCCCGTCGTCGTCGTCGTCGCCGCCATGTCCCAGGCCGTCAAGAGGGCCTGTGACGCTTGTCATCGTCGCAAGGTCAAGTGCGATGGCATCAACCCGTGTCGCAACTGCTCGTCCGCCCAGCTGTCATGCACCTACAACGCCATCCCGCAGAAGAAGGGCCCCAAAGGCTCTCGTGCCAAGGTTATCAGCGAGTTGCGAGAGACGCAGCGACAGACGAGTCTGACGGCCAAGGTCCACAACCGCATGAATGGCATCCCCAGTCCGCCAGAGCCCATGGGCGGCGCTCCCACGCCGGGCATGCTGTCCCCTGAACTCGTCAAGGACTGCCTCGATTTCTACTTTGCCAACTTGTACGAAAAGGCACCCGTCCTCGACCGCCGGAGGATTGAGCAGCAGCTGCCCTACATGGAGCAGAACCGCGATACCTACTGCCTCCTGACGGCTCTCTGTGGCTTCATGGTTGTTCAGCCCGGCATGGCTCTTCCCCTTGGCGACTACAACCTCGACATGTACCCCGGTGCCGATCTGGCCGCGAGCCAGGTTCTTCTCGAGGAGTGCCTCCGCGTCCGCCGAGGCCACGACTACCTTGACAGTCCTACTCTGGACACGCTCGCCACCAGCTTCTTCATCTTCGCCATCTACCAGTCTATCGAGTTGCACGACAAGGCATGGTTTTATCTCCGCGAGGCTACGACCATGGTTCACCTGAGTGGTATGAACAAGGAGGACACGTACGGCCAGTGGGACGCCACCGAGTCGTCCCGGAGGAGACGGCTCTACTGGCTGTTCTTCGTTCTCGAGCGTGCCCACGCCATCCAGCGCCAGCGACCCCTTACCCTCCAAGCCAGCATCAAGCCCCCTTCTTCTGCAGATGACCCTACCGACCCGCAAGCACACCAACTGACGAGCTTCATCATGCTCGTCAAGTTGTTCCACTCCTTTGACGACGCCTTCACCAGCTCCTGGAACAAGACGCGCAGCAACCTACCCCATCAGCACATTGCCACGCTGCAAAAGCAACTGGCCGACATGCTGCCGACATATCTCTGCCAGGATGACAACCTGTCGAACCTTCACACCAACCAGCAGTGGCTCAAGTCTACTCACTGGCAGCTGAGCAATGGCAGTATGAGTTCTCATAACGCCGACGGCATCGACTGGCAGGTTCCTCGCGACCTATCACGCGATCTTCTGATGAAAATGGCCTCCCAATTCCCTGGACAGGGCATGGAGCTGCTCGGCTCGGGACTTGTAAGTATCCCTGAATTCTGGAATCTGCGTGTCCTCGCGCTAACAAGCCATAGATTGAGAAGGTCTTCGAGATTGGTTCGAACATGATGGACTTCCTCGTCACGCAGCCCGCCTCACGGGATCCCTTCAGCCTCGGACCTCGCGAGCAACTCAACCAGATCCTCAACATTGTCGGCGTTATGCGCAATGGCAACAACCACGTGCTGCCGCTGCTCTTCACCAAGATTAATGACGTCCTGCCACGCCTGACCAACCTCATGCTGCAGAACGCACCAGAGAACTGTGCCCTCGCCAACATTGACATCTTCGATGGTTTCGGCAACGCCGGCATGGCGCAGCCGCCTCCCCAGATGCAGATGCAGATGGACACCGACTACGACCGCAAGTTCTCTGTCGCCGAGTATGAGAAGAACTTTGAGATGAACGGCGTGAACAACGAGTCCCACGGCGTTCCAGCGTCTTCCAGCACGTCCAGTATTCCGGCAGCGACGAGCGCCGAGCTCGCTTCGCCATATGCTAGCTCCCCAAGCGTCATGTCGCCAGGCATGGAGTTCCCTCGCCAGCATCTCAACGATTTTTGCGCACCCATTCCCGAGCAGGTCATGTCGCCTGTCGGTCAGTCCATGAGTGGGTCCAGTTCGATGAACTTCCAGAGCATGCAGCAACATCAACAACAACAACAACAACAGCAACAACAACAGTCTCATCAACAGCATCAGCACCATAATCACATGCTCCAGAGCCAGTACATGTCGCAGCACGCCACGCAACACAGTCTACCGCAGAGTCAGAGCATGAACGGCTTCAACTCTCCGTCGACGCCCAGCCCCCCCGGCATGAATACGGCGTCCATGCCCACAGCGCACTCCATGTCACAAGGCTTGATGAACCAGATGCCCCGCCAGCCGCCGCAAAGGACCAACAGCTTCGCCATGCCGCAGCAGGGGCAGGTCCGCACGGTGGGGGACTTCCACGCCCTGCAGCGGTCCAATACGGGCGACCTGACCACGATGGCCGGCATGGGCGGCGGCGAGATGGACTACGGTGGCATGAGGTAACGGCTCGACGCAAGGGTCACAGTACTTGCTCACGTTGAGCCTTCTCACGGTGTCCAAGCCTGGGCATGCCGTTGCCACCATTCATCCCATGCTTTGCATGGTGGTCATGAATATGGACCAAGCCGGCGGGCTTGATCCTACTTTGCTTGTCTTGGCCCCTTGTTTGCGATTTTCAAGTTGATGCTGCATCTCCACTATGTACATGTTTTGAGGGAGGGGTCCTATTGACCATCCTGGAGCGACATGTTGGCGCATGGCGTATGTATTTTTTTTTCATGTCGGTCGGAGGGAAACAGAAAGTGACGTGATGGGAGCTCTATATTCTTTGGAAGGACTGGGTGGAAAACGGACAGCAGGGGAGGGGTTTTATGATGTGATGGACGCTTTCTATGGTGTTGACAGGTAGATGAATTGATCATTTAGAATACGCTGTCTTGCAGTCGTGCGTCCCTCTTGTGTGTACGACCAAACACCACTGTCGTTCCTGCTGCACTCACGTCCGATGTACTGCTGTCCCTTTCGTCATGGATGTGTTCGATGACCGTCCATGCATAGGTACGACGTGGTGGGTGCGCACCGGCTCACACTTCCTGTCGCGGTCAAAAATATGCCCAAAGGCCCTCACCGCAGCAGCCTCGTCTCACCGCCCACACACACAGTCCGTCCACAACACCAGAATCACCCTCCAATGCACCAAACACCCGTCCCATTTCTCTGGGACCTGGCAACGTTGCAGCCAACCGAGCCGAGCATCCCGCTCCCACCCCACTTTTCCCTCAATGGAACAAAGGAACAGCAGGATGGAGTCTAGTGGAAGAGGGGGGGAAGAAAAAAAAACCTTCCATGCCCCGCAGATCGCGATCCGCCGCACCGCAAAACAACGATGATGCCAGTTCATAACGGCACCGCAGAAGGAAACCGGAAAACCAAACCAAAAAAAATGGACAATGCGCGAATCGAACGCGCGACCTTCAGCAGGCATCGTACACCGTCTTGAAGATGGTGGACTTGTTTCTTCAGATGCTAAGCAGACGTTATACCACTAAACCAATCGCCCTTGTGGATGGAGGCGGGGCGCGGCGGTGGGTATCATGTTGCTGCTTGCGGGCCGGCCGGGCCTAGACTTCGGTTGACGAGATGAGTGTTCGCGAAGAGCTAGACGGGGCGAGGAGAGTGGGTACATTGTACATGAGAAGTAGAGGCTCGGTGGAGAATCCAGGATGAATGTCATTTGAAAGTAGAGGTCGGGGTATAATGTAAGTCTATGGTACAGAACGCAGGCCGTGGGCGTATGGACACGAGAGAGAGAGAGAGAGAGAGAGAGAGAGAGAGCCATGTATGTTGACCCCCTTGCAGGCAGGAATAGAAATCATACAAGAACATAGAGGGAGCAGATCTAGACTCTGGTCAGCGGACGTCCATGCACCAGGGGTCTGCGCCTTGAACTCACCATGCTCAGCCCCATCACCATGGAGACCCAAAACATGACATTGTTGAGCGTCTTCTTGCCGCGCACGAGCTTGGTGCGCTGCAGCATGACAATGGGCAGCTGGAGCATCTGGCAGACAAAGCCGTAGCCGCGCAGCTTCTTGGTGATGCAGGCCATGACAATCTCGTGGCCGATGGCGGAGATGAGGAACGTGATGACGGTAGCGCGCATGCGGCCAATGTGCGGGCGCGAGGCGCTGTAGACGTGACGGCGCAGGAAGGAGTAGACGGGAATGTTCCACTCGCGCGAGAACTCCATCCAGTCGGTCGAGTTCCACCAGTCGTTGTAGAACTGGCGGTCACCGAAGCGCGTCATCTCGGCGCAGGCGCCGAGGGCATACTCAAAGATGACGAGGAAGACGAGGAGGAAGGTGAGCATGAAGGGGAAGAGGAGCCAGGAGACCGTCTCGGCAAGGATGAGGAGGCGCTCGTTGGCCGACGGTGGAAGGATGCCAGGCGCCATGGGCGGGTTGAGACGGAGCGAGGACTCGATGAGAATGGGGAGGATGAACTCTTCCGAGATGATGGTCAAGAGGAAGATGCAGCCAAAGACGGCAACAATCTTGGAGATGAGCGAGGTCCAGTCGCGCTTTGGGGTGCGCGGGTACTCGAGCTCGTAGCACAGGGTCGGACACAGGAGGTAGTCGAGGTAGTTGGCCCACGTCAGGTTGCGCGGGTAGGCAATGTTGCCCATGGGAGAGGTCAGCTCCCGGGCCAGATCCTCGCGCAGATCCGAGACCTCCTCGTCGCTCTCATGACCGCCTGTCCGGAGGAGAGCATCGGCTGGCTTGAGCTCGCTGCTGCCACTGCTGGCGGTCCGCTTCTTGGGGCTGCCGTCGGTGTCGTCGTGCGTCTCGGACGACTTGGCCTGCTTGGGGCTCTTGGGGGCCTGGTCGCGCAACGGGTCCTCGGACGTCGGATAGAGGTAGGCGGGGTCGCGGTTGGCGCCCGAGGGGTTGTCGAGCGCGCGCAGGCGTTTCTCGGTCTCGCAGAGGTGCCCGTTGTAGAAGGCCCAGCTGTGCATCTTCATGAGCAGGACCATGGTGTGCAGCAGGAAGAAGACCTGGGCGGTCCAGGTCCACTCGAGCCAGAAGGGCACGGCGACCCAGACGGCGAGCCAGCCGACCTGGTAGAGGCTCTGGATGGCCATGCCGCCCGTCTTCCAGGTGAGGGGCCCGTTGGCGGGGGCGGCGCGAAAGACGCGGTGCATCAGCACGGAGACGGCGGTCGTGGCGACCATGAGAAAGTCGGCAATGGCGAGGTGCCATGTCTTGATGGTGAAGAGATACCAGATCTGGACGCGCATAGGGTGGCCAGTGTCCTTGATGTTGCGCAGCATTGTGGTGATGGCCATGATGGCCAGGCCGATCCAGAAGAGGTTGAAGAAGCCATGGAAGTCGCGGTAGTCGGAGTTGGGGTCAAAGTGAGAGACGCGGCTGGCATACTCGATGGTCGGGAAAATGCGACGGCGCTGCTCGGCACGGGCAGACCTCTTCGCGGAGGAGATGGACTTGACCGAGGGGGGCGCATCCGCGGGGACGGGCGTGGAGCGACCGCTGCAGACGTTAGCGGGAGCACGATGGGGAGAGGCAGGTCTGTGTCTGTAGGGTGACGGGCCAGGAGACGCACCTAGTCATGCCACTCTCGGCGAGGGCGCTCCTGTAACTGCTGGCATCGCCAGTGGAAGACGTCTCAGAGACGTTGCTGACGGTGCTCAGTTGCGAGTGGACCGCCTTCCTCGGGCGCGGACGCAGGATGTGCTCGTGGACAGGGGTATTGGTATGGCCGTTTGTGTGCGTGTCGGTGGCCGTTGAAGCCATGGTCATCGATATGAAGGGGCTCAGAGAGGTAATTGGTGTATTGTTGTGTGGCCTCGTCGTCGTGACGTGGTTCGGGTGGTGGTTGATGTCAAGACGTCGTCGAATGGAGCGAGGGGAGGCGTGCTTCCATCTGTTCTATGGCGGGCGGCTTCGTAGAAAAACGGGGGGGTTGCGGTCAGAAGAAGGTCGAAGGATCGAAGCAGCGGAGAGGAGAAAGACGTGGGTTCAGAGTGGAGGAAACAAGACGGAACATGTGTCGAGTTCTGGAGATGGGTCGTCTAAGGGGTCGTCGCGCAGACGATATGGCGACAAGTGGAGATGATGCGACAACGAGGCAGTCGTTTGAATCGTTTGAGTCGGGTTCGTTGTTTTATTAATACGAAGGGAGAAAGACCCCGGCATTCGTCAGACGCAAGAAAGGGAATCGAAATAATGAAGAAGAGGACCCGAAGTAAAGAGGATCCGAAGTCCGAGAGGTGGTATCAAGGGGACGATGACAGAACGCAAAGAAGCCTGTGGGTTGATTGCCGTTGCGCTGAGCTTGGATGCTCGGGTGCTCGGGTTCTTGGGGGGCCTCGGGGGGGTTCTTGGAACACCTGGGGGGGGGGGCACATCCCTTAGGCCCCTCGACCCTGAAGCAAGCTCCACCCAGTGCTACGTCACTCCTTCCCTACCTACCTAGGTAGGTAGGTACAACGAAGGGAAGGGACCGGATTATCTCAGCTTGGCGAGGTATCTTGTACATTTCTCTGTCCTTCCTGCCACAACCGTGCCGCTGCCTGATGGAGGCCATCGCCATCTCTCCAGAGACATCAACACGTTCGCCATATATTGTCTCTTCTCCTCCTCCATTCTTCTCTGCATCATGATCGCGTGCGCCGTCTCCGTGTTCCGAGAAGCCCGGCTGCGATGCAAGGAGCTTGTCTATTTTATCGACCCCCAGCAAACCGAGAGTGCCGGCATCCACCACAAGGCTTCCCTCCACTCACAAGACAGCCAGAGTCAGCCACCCCTAGAGCCGACATGGCCGCGGCAGTGTTGTTGCGAGGTTGGTACATGGTAGCACTCAGCCCTACCCCGACCTGCCTGACGTCAAGGGAACCGCCAAATCCGGCTCTTCTGTCACTATTGTTTGCGCCGCCGAATCCGCCCGTTGGCGATCCGACGCAGCGTGTGACCCCCTCTTTGGGCCTCGCATCAACTCGAACCGTCGCCGATCGCCTCACTCTGTGTCCGGTGCCACGTGCCAAGGGCGATGATCAAGGATGGTCTCGACCAACGACTGCACGTAATCGCCATCAACCTGGAAGAACCGCCGGAGCTTCCGCACCGTTCGACGGATGATACCGCAATGAGACGGCTTTTGCTGGTGCAAGGTCCCCCCCTCCCCCTCCTCCGGCCTGCCCGCCAATTCCCGAGCATGATGCATAATCAGACGGCAAGATACACTTGTAATGGCATTTCGGCGCCGAAGGTGTTGGAGCTGCTGCGACGAAAACCAAAACTCGCGACAAAAACCCCCACCACGTCCGAATACACCCCATGTTTCCCCAGTGACCTCCCCAGTGCCTCAACATGTCGACAGCCGGCACCCTTCGCCTCGGATCACCTTCCGGCCTCCGCCCTCCACCTCACTTCCATCGTACGCCTCTCCGTCGACCGTCACCTTGACGCAATGCCACGGCAGCACAATCTCACCCCGCGTCTTCTCTGGTGTCACAAGCTCAATGGCCACCTTCCGGCCACCACCCTCACCCTCGATTTCAATGACAGCCTCCCAGTCGCCCACGGGACTCGTCCATCCACTGCGGAGCCTTGTCAGATCGCCTGGCAGCGGCTTGAACACCCATCGCCCCCAGCTGACCACCTCGAGCCCCACAGCCTTGAAGCTCAGCGCCTGCGTTGGTCCTGTCGACCACGAGTGGCTGAGGGAGGTGTACGCCGCGTCGTATCGATAGCTGCGCTGCGATCGGTAGTAGAGAGACCCGTTGGCCGACAGGCCCTCGATCAACGTTGTCCCCGTCATGAGCGGCGAGTCCAGCATGTATCCCCACATGCGTCGGACCAGCTTGAGGCCCGTCGCCGCTTTACCAGCTGTAAAGTGCGCCAGCACCTCGATCGATGAGATGAACGACGAGATGGTATCCGGCAGCTCCGGCGTCAGCGGCCCAATGGCGTTCCATCTCTTTGCCAGAGCATGCGAGATGGCCGCCTGCTGGGACGAGGATAGTGTGAGGTTGTAGTAGACGGCAAGCGCGTTGCCGTCTTGCGGAAAGAGAAGGGCGCCGCGGTCCGTCTCGTTGTCGCGGTACAGGGACTGCTCGTCGTCCCACAGCACCTCGTTGAAGGCTTGCTTCAGCTTGGCCGCCGCCGCCGCCCATTTCTCCGCCTGCTCGGCGCGGCCGTTGTCCTTGGTCGTCGTGTCGGCCGCAAGAGAGGCCAGCGCGAACAGGGCGTGGTAGTCGAGGGCGTTGAGGGCCGAGTTGTAGCCTCCACCCCCAAGACGCGCCCAGTCGTTCGGGAAAGCTTGGTTCGCCAAGCCGACTTTGTTGTCCACGGCTCGGTAGATGTACTCGAGTCCCGCCGTGATGTTGCCCCATGATCTGTCGACCCACTCGGCGTCGCCCGTGAAGATGGCATAGTTGTAGCAGGCGATCATGGTCCACGCGTGGTACGTGTCACTCAGCGCCCCGTTCCGCCACGAGCCCGTCGTCGGTCCCGCAAACGGCGTCTGGCCCGTCGTCTTGTTCTGGTAGAAGAACATGGTCTCAATGGCGTAGTAGATGCTCTCGAGGCCCGCGGCGCCGAGACCGAGGTACGCCGTCGTGCCGGCGACGCCGAGGTCGCCCGGCCACACGGCGCGATCGCGCTTGGCACCATCGAGCATCATGGGCCCCTCGACGCCGAGCGAGGCATTGTACGCCCACCCGTCCTTGACCTGCGGCAGGAAGCGCGACGTGAAGGGCGGCCCGATGTTCGTCTGCGCCGTGAAGACGCCGGCGTACCACGCGCGCACCAGGGTGTCATCCTGCGGCGCCCAAAAGTACCCGTCGTACTTGCTCGGGTCCTGCTGCGACGGCGAGTACCCAAGGTGGCAGACGATATCGGAGATGGTGACGGCCTCGTAGGCGACGATGGTGACGTACTTGAAGCCGCCGCGGAAGCGCTCGGTAGGCATCTGGTAGGCCGTGGTGCCCGCGGCGACGGTGACGTTGAGCTGCTTGTCGTAGTCCTGGGTGTGCACGGCGCCCGTGTCGTCGGAGATGGCCCGCACAAAGGCCGGCGACTCGGCGAAGGCGAGGGAGAACTGCTGCGTCGCCGCCTTGGTGTCGGCTGTCAGCGACAGGAGGCCGCCCACGTAGCCAAAGTCGAGCGTGATCTGGGCGCCGGGGTTCATGGTCAAGATGTAGCTTGGTTCTGTGACCTCCTCCTCGTCGTCACCCTCTCCTGCCGACGAGAGCGTGACAAGCGCATCGCCTTTGATGGCGTAGATGCTCTTGGGCGAGATGGTGCGCGAGGTTGGGGATTGGATGTACCGTTCCCACGGTTTGGCGGTGCCATCGTCGCGGGCGGCGAGGAGGGCCGTCGAGGGGTCCAGCGCGAGAGCGAGGATCGCCCAGCGGAGGAGGGACGCCATGGTGCGACGCTGGCTCGGTGTCTCGAGACGTTGTTGGGTGCACCTTGGGGGAAGGAAAGAAGGGAGGAGGAGGAGGAGGAGAGAAGAGGAGCAGAGAAAAGGTGTGCCCTTGCTTGCACCAGCTCAGAACGCCATGGGCACCCCGTCTTTAAGGGCCCCTGGTTTATTTTGTGCAGACGATGCGCCCTCGAGAGGCGTGCCCAGACCTACCCGACGAGATCGCCAGTGCCACCTCCCCCAAACAAGCTGTTTTCCGAGCCGACCACGGGGACCAGGCTTTCTTCGTGGCTCGCGCATGACAGGCCATGGACGGGGGTTGGTGCTGCTGCTGCTGCTGCTACTGCATCCTGCTTGGTGAAGATCGACAGGGCGGGGTTGGACGAGAGGAGAGAGTCGGGGTAAGTCAGGGCCGAGGAGGCGCGGGGCATCGCTGGCGCGAAGAACGACGGGATCTGGGGTATGGAGCGGATGGAAGGGAGGGGAGAAGCGGAGATTGGAGGATCTGCGGGGGAGGGGGAACATGGATCTCCGGGGTGGGATGCGATGCGATCGGCTCGGGAGGCTGTGTCTTTGTTTGTTCTTTGCGTTCCTGTAGGGGTGCTGTGCCGGGTATGTTGAATCAGGCTCTTCACTGGTGTCGCTGCTGAAATGCGGGGGAACCAAGTAAGGAGAGGAGCCGAGCATGACGGAGAAAGAGTTGTGCCGAGAGGTTGGAGGATGGTATGGTGTGATAGATCTTTTCATGGTGTAGGGCATCCTTGGGAATTCTTCCGTGTGCCGTAGGGAGTGGAAATGTCATGGTCGTAAAGTTCGGTCGGCCCGGGGTTGGGCGCCGCTTCGCCGAGTCCGGGTGGGTCACCGGGGCCGCTATTCTCGGCCGGTGCGGGGGACGCCTCCGGTCGGCTGGCCCGTATTCCACTTTTGGCACTGGCTGACAGTGGCTAGCCTCATGAGAGCTACACTATGCTGCCGACTGAGAGCCTAGGGCGCGACACCGTGACGTGAAGCTTCGGAGGTGTCGGTCCCGGTGGAGTGGCTTGTTTCGGCCGGGGACTGTGCCTTGCTCCCAGAAGGTGGTAGACGGCGAGGAGCAGGCGGTTGATGTCGCATCGGGACAGGCAAGATTCATGCGCGCTCTACGGGTTGAGCAGACTAAGGTCTCGCTCGCAGCGCTACTTCTGGATGCACGTGCATCATCAAGCGAACGATTCGCACTTGGGAGCAGGCGATCAAGATTGGCTGTTGAGTTCCAATGAGCAGCACGACGAGCATCCTGACAGGCCCCCCCTTAGTGGTGTAAACTTTTCTACATAAAAACAAAAAATCATAGGAATTTTCCGTTTAGGTCTATAGAGAACGGAAAAGGCACGAAGAAGAACAAAAAAGAGAAGCTGAGCTTCTTATAGTGAGATCCTTCCAACCGGAGTCGAGCCGGTGACCTTTCGATTGGAATGGAAGCCAGTTACAGTCGAACGTGATGAACCAACTACACTATGGAAGGATTTTGATGAACTGCCCCATTTTCTGGGCGCTACTTATCCTGGAAAATCGCGCAGGACATGGGCCTTGATAACTCCACGATAGGCGGGTCGGCGGATCCTCCTGTGGATTCTCTTCACGAAGACGCACAGCAGAAGCTCATGACAGCTATTCTGAAGACCCAAAAAACTCAACTGAGGGGGTTGCTTCCTCTTGGAGTCACCCTTCCATGCCCTGATCTTGCGGCGTCTCATGTCTAAAGCTTCGACTTGCCTCCTGGCGCGATCACCTCGAGCGACGACCGCGCGAACTCGAGCTGCCGCCCGCCGTGGTTCGAGAGCACGACGCCGGCGACGCCGTGCTCCGCGGCCCGGAGGACGTCCTCGACGCTCTGGATGCCCTTGAGCACGATGGGCATGTCGGTGATGCTCTGGAACCAAGGGCACGTCGTCCCAGCAGAGCGTCGAGTCGAGAAACGTCGACGTCCCCTGGTACACCTCGGGGTGCCACGCCTCCCCGTCGCGGCTCGCCGCGCGCTGCCGGGCGCGCAGGTCCTTCTCGCGCCGACCGACCTGGGTATTGTCCACTGTGATGAAGAGGCCCTTGCAGCCGCGCTTCTCGGCCTGCTGGACGATCTGCCTGGTGACGTCGCGGTCCTCGTTGACGTAGAGCTACATCCACTGGACCTAGTCCTCGCCCCGACGGGCGTCGACAATGTCGTCCAAGGCGCAGGAGGAAAGCGTCGGGATCATGTGGATGATGCCATGGGTGCCAGCGGCACGGGTGAAAGCGACCTCGCCGTCCGGGTGGGCGAGCTTGTTGAGAGCCTTAGCGGTGATGTAGAAGGGGAGAGAGCTTCTGGCGCCGAGCAGCGTCGTCGAGATGTCGATCTGCGTCACGTTGACCATGACACGGGGCCGGAACCCGACACGGTGAAAGGCCCGGTAATTTTCTTGCAAGGTCTAGGCGTGAGTTGCCATGTCAGATGCACTGCAGTGTGCTCATCTCAGGGAATTGGGGGGGGGAGGGGGGCCATCATACAATTTCATCGTCGGCAGCACTGGAGAAATAGGCCCATGATGTCGGGTCCAGCACTTGGCGCGCCACCGACTCAAAATCGGACAGATTCAGGCAGTGGGATAAGGGCGGCTTCTCCGTAGGGTGCGGCGGGTGTTTGGGTTCTTCCCGCTGCTGCCGGATGTCCTGAGGTTTTGATGGCGGTACTGATGGCTGTCGCGTCTTCGTGAGCACCTGTTCGGACTACGAGGCATCATTCTGGCTTGTCTTGGTGGCCTCGGGTGGGCTGACAGACCCCAAATGCTTGGATGCGTCGAGGTATTTTTCGAGGGTCCCTGCTGGATGAATCGGATCATATGCGGCTGTGGCATCCTTGCCCTGGCGTCGATATCAGCCATCACCAGTACAAGCAGTGTGCCGAGTTGATGCCAAAAACACTCTGACTTAGTGCATGCTTGAGTATCGATTGCTGTCCGCCAGGATGGTCTACGCTCGAAGGGGACATGTAAGACTCTCGTCATTCGGGAGTTGGGATCACACTTCAGTAAAGATCAATCCGCCTGGCAAGAATTCAGTCATGTCGTACATCTTCCCCTATGAGGACACACTATCAGTCATGTTTCTTGGGTATCAGGTAGCCCATCACGCTACATGTACGATAACCCAGCAGGAGTCGGCGTTGTTATGATTGGCGACCTCGCTTCCATTGAGGTCACCAACGGCCATAGTTATAATTAAAGGCGTAATCGACGGGCCTCAAGCATTTGACTCCTTATAGAACAGGGAGAGTCGGCTCCAGGCGGGTTTCCAGGCCGTGGCGCCACGGTAGCATCCATGAAGCAACCCGACCATATGCAAGGCACTGTTGATGTATTTGAACCAATGTGGATCAAAGCGCAGTTCAATAACGGGTCCGAATTTCGGCACGCGGTACCGAAATCGGGGTCATGATCATTGGCTGGTCCATGATCTTCGGGCAACGCCATTCAGAGGACTGATAACGGGCTAACGGCATGCTGGGAACCCGTAATGCTTACATCCGGGGCCTTTCTTCTAATCACCCAACCTCGAGAGAACCCGCAGCCTCGACTCATTTTGGCATGATTTCGATGGGTTGTAACATAATGAGACATCTAAGACCGCCAGAGTTGTCCACTCGTATTTCCTTCGTAGAATGCAACAATCCCCAGATCCAAGGCTGTGTTCTTGTTGATTGTATAGGATCCAAGCCCCATCCAACGATTGCCTACGAGCCGTGTAGATGCGATTGATAAACATTCTGCTGGCACTACCACGGCTTCTTGCCGATGTTGATGCCAGCCCAAACGGGCCATCTGAGCTTCCACTCTACTGCCTCAGCCCTCCTTTTTACCCGTCACGTGTGTCTCCGATTTCACCACACCGGGTTACGTGTTTCGTTCCGAAGACCAGAATCTCCCCGCCCAACCCCAAGAACATCTCGAACAGACACTCGATACCTAGTCGTTGCCAATAGCTCATCAAGCCCCCACTGGGCTGCTGCCTACCGACATGCGCGGGCTGTCGTTGGGCAGCTGACCATGGAGGAGAAGGTGAACATCACCAACGGCCGCCTCGAGGCACCTTGCGTCGGTACTCTGGGTGGCATCTCATGCCTCGGTGTCACAGCCCTCTGCTTCTCTGACGGCCCGGACGGCGTCCATGACGAAGAGTTTGTCTAAGCCTTCTCAGCGGGCATCCGCGTCGCTGCGATATTTGACTTGTCGCTGATGTAAGAGTACGGCCGTGCGCACAGCGAAGAGAACCGCGCCAAGGGTATCGTTGTCGCCAGACTTAAAAGTGTAATCGCCCTCATTCCACCCGTGACATGACTACCCAGACATGGAACTCAGAAAACGTCCCCCCGAACGCTACATACGCAAGTTTCTTTATTGAGAACACCTGTCTAGCTGGAGGCAACATCTTCATGGCCTGGCTAGCGGAGCTGTAAGTCCTGTACATTCACCATCTGAGATGGGAAGCGCAGAACCTGACCCGAACAAAGATAGCCTACCTCATGAGCCAGAGGCAAGATCTTTGATCATCGGAGCGTCCGTGACTGCTGCCTACGCCGTAGCCGCGGGCGTCATGATTCTTATGTGGCCTGCGTCCAAGGCACTGTATTTTAAGAGCCAAACGAGACCTCTAAAAGAGAGATCTGGAGGGCATATGAAGCTGAATTGCAAATCTTTAGTCAATCATGGTTGGCCAACAATCATTGTCACATGGACCATCACGGCCGCACTGTGCGTGGTGCTTCACTACCTTGACCGGAGGTATCTTCTGTATAGCCGACATCTGAACACTACGAAACGTGAATCCTAAGCAGCTGACGAATGGCAAACAGGCCCGAGAGGATCGAGTCCGGCGAAGCCAATGGCCTTGTAGTTAACTTGTCGGGTGATGGAGGATCGGTAGAGCCCAGATCCGCCGAAGATAAGAGCAAGGGGCCAATTAACACCACCAAATCCATCTGAAGGGGCCTTGTCTCGACAGGAACTGCAGCGAATGGTTCCTTACCAGGTAGCGAGGTACGTCGAGCAGAGCTCCAACGCCTCCGTTCAGCGAGCAGTAATAACATATAAACGCATAATCTCGAGCCTTGCTTCAGGCAGAACTCACCCACAGATCATGAATCCATTTTATCCACTCCAAAGAAAAGAGATAACGCTCAGGTAGGGTAGACAGCTTCTTGAGAGATAAGACCCGAAGCATTTCCAGATGTCAGACAGGGTAGTATGAATATAAGACGGGCGACTTACAGCTCAAAGTCTGCCTCCTATCTCTTTCTTGGGCTCTACGGAAGAATTTCGATACAAAACACATCCTTGGGCGCCCTTAATGATCCCTGATAAACACCAACAGGTGTTCAATTCCTTGTGTGTGTGTAGTCGCGTTCGAGATAGGTATGATCCGGATCGGGACCTGCCAAGCAGCTGAGGAAATATCAAAGGCGGTTGGACGAGTAGAATGAAGAAGTCTTCCACAAGTCATGTTGGCAGTCTTAAGTCAGTTTGGGGATCAGGATACATCCCAAAGTCCAACCCTCCGCAGCTAGGAAATTTTCGCAGCGCTCATAGACACGCTGCTGTGGTCTCAAGCCCCTGAGCTATCCCCTCAGTCTCTTGTTACTTGACTCCGCAAATGCTTCTTAAAATTCGCACAACAAGTGCATCAAAGATATTCATAAACGACCAAGCGCCAGTGGTCAGCATGAACAAGGCAAAACCTTGCGTTCTTTCCATGGTACAGTAGAAGGCTTGATGAACGTGACTTCGAGGTGGGAAGATTGCGCCACATGAGAGTTTAGAGGTGATATGAGGGTGTAGGACTTCCGCAGGCTTGTATGACTCCATCCTAGAGGTTCTGCGAGATTTCCAGACAATGTCACTGCCTGCAGCTTCACGGAACTAAGCCCAAGTCGAGGAGATGTGACGAGCCAATAAATGCAATGACAGGAGAACGCGCCACCAACAGCCCTGACCTGACCCGATCACCACGTCGTGATTTGGCGGAGCGTCTGCGGCATTAATAGGGAATGTCAAAACAACTCGGGCAGGAAACATGTTCAATCACAGGTTCCACGATGGTGAATTAGGCCAGGCTCAACTCAGCCTGACGACTATTCAATTAGCCCGGGCGATCATGTTTTGCACATCAGGCCCGTTCATCATTCGACACAGCCACCACAACATAACCAACGACCACACCACTACCCAATTCGGCGGTCTCGTCAGGCGTTTTCGGTTTTGCCCCGAGGCATACTTCAACACATAGCAAGAATTCTGGTCCGCGGCCAACTCTCGCGTTATACCTCGCACGAGGGTCACGTTTACACGCCTGGCTTGCCCCTCAAAAGACAAGCAGCGAACAGGAAACCTTGCCCAGCCCCGCGCACCATGGCCGTCTAGTCTCACGGCAGTATTCCCCTACAAGCAAATACACCCCAAGGATTCACATGAAACACAATCTCAATCACATCAGCCGCCTACAATGTCCTCCTCACAGAGACACGTCTTCACCCCCGAATCACCAAGCCGCTTCTACCCAACGACCCGCGTCGTGACGGCCATTCCCAACAACCCACCGCCCGACTACCCCATTTCCGTCCTCGGCAAGATCAAGTACGCGCTCCGCCGCAAGGCCGTCAAGGCCGCTGCTGCCGAGCGTACGCCGCAGACGCCGCAGACTACGTACCACACCAACGAGAGGGGCCAGATCATCGAGACGAGGTACGTGCGGACCAGGTGGTGAAGCGTGCATGCTGGTGGCGAATTCGGCACTGCCTGGATTTCCTGGGATGACCGGGAGACGGCGACACGGATGCAAGATCTGTCTGGAGGGCGACGCAGGTTTGTGCAGCTGTAGAGCGGGAGGTATCCGAACTTGAAAGAGGGATTCAGGTGTAGGGGATGGACAGACCGTTACAACGACTGTCCAGTTATTCACTTTCAGGGTATTATGGCGAGAGGGTAAGGTGCTCGGATATACTTCACAGGCGTGTGAATAGGCTGAGGAGGCATGGACTCAATTTCCATAACGAGGATGGCATATCCTACCTTGAAGCGACAAGAATGAAATTGACTGGTTGAATATCACTACATAATGCTGACATTGAAGTGCATTTCGGCTCATGTAGGCATGCTTTCCGTAACGGGAATGGCATATCCTACCTTGGAGCGACAAGAATGAAATTGACTGGTTGAATATCACTACATAATGCTGACGTTGAAGTGCGTTTCGGGTTGTGTAGGCATGCAATGATGTGTGGTCTTACGATGGACCAGACTTAGGATCACGAGGCGTACCAAGCGGCAGCCACAGCGTCAAAACGGCGTATCACGTTTACAAGGGCAGGTTGTGTTCTTACCGTTCAATTCTGCATCTCATCTGTCTCATAATCGTGACGAGCTAGCTAGAGTACACACACGCCGCACCATACGGACGAAGGGGGAATTATGCGGCTGCAACAACGCGCGAAAAGAGGAAAGTACGCCAAGTCCAAGGGCAACCGTACCCGAAAACCGTCCAACTCCATTGACTTTTCTGGTATACCGTGTGTATCATGAAAACCGCTTAGTCGACCTCCTCCATGGCGCTGTCACCAGTCTCGGTGGTGGTGGCAGCGGCGGCGGGAGTCTCCTCGGTCTTGGAGTCATCCTCCTCAATGTTGAGGCCGATCTGGACGAGCTTGTGGATGCGCTCAGAGAAGCCGGCGGGCTCCTCAATGGTGAAGCCAGAGACGAGCAGGGAGGTCTCGAACAGAAGCTGGACAATGGACTTAACGGTGCGGTCGTTGACACCATCGGCCTCGACCTTCCTCTTGAGCTCCTGGACAATGGAGCTCTTGGGGGAGATCTCGAAAGTCTTCTTGGAGGACATGTACGAGGACATGGAGGTGTCACGGAGGGCCTGGGCCTTCATGATACGCTCCATGTTGGCGGACCAACCGAACTGGCCGGTACGGATAGCGCAAGGAGCGTCGCCGAGCTTGTGGCTGACAACGACCTTCTCGACCTTGTCGCCGAGAACCTCCTTGAGGGCCTTGGCGAGACCCTCGTACTCCTTCTCCTCAGTCTCACGCTGAGCCTTCTCCTCATCGGTCTCCTCGAGCTCGAAGTCCTTGGTGATATCAACAAGCTTCTTGCCCTCGAACTCCTTCATCTGAGTCATGGCGTACTCATCGATGGGGTCAACGAGGAAGAGGACCTCAAAGTTCTTCTGCTTGAGGGAGTCGAGGAAGGGGGACTTGGTGACGGCCTTGAGGGACTCGCCAGTGATGTAGTAGATGTTCTGCTGGACCTCGGGCATGCGAGCGATGTAGTCGGTCAGAGAGGTCATGTCATCACCAGACTTGGTGGAGTTGAAGCGGAGGAGCTTGGCCAGGGTCTGGCGGTTCTGGGAGTCCTCGTGGATACCAAGCTTGATGTTCTTGGAGAAGGCAGAGTAGAACTTATCAAACTGCTCCTTGTCCTCGGCGATCTCAGTGAAGAGCTCGAGGGCCTTCTTGACAATGTTCTTCTTGATGACCTTCATAATCTTGTTCTGCTGGAGAGTCTCACGAGACAGGTTGAGGGGAAGGTCCTCAGAGTCGACAACACCCTTGACGAAGCTGAGCCACTCAGGGATGAGGTCAGTGGCGTCGTCAGTGATAAAGACGCGGCGGACGTAGAGCTTGATGTTGTTCTTGGTCTTCTTGGTCTCGAACAGGTCGAAGGGAGCGCGCTTGGGGACGAAGAGGATAGCGCGGAACTCGAGCTGACCCTCAACGGAGAAGTGCTTGACACCGAGGTGGTCCTCCCAGTCGTTGGAGAGAGACTTGTAGAAGGCGGCGTACTCCTCCTGGGTGATGTCCTGGGGGTTGCGAGTCCAGATGGGCTTCTGCTTGTTGAGCTCCTCCTGCTCGATGGAGGTCTCCTTGACCTTCTTGACCTTCTTCTCCTTCTTCTCCTCCTCCTCGTCATCGACCTCCTCGATCTTGGGCTTCTTGTCGTCGTCCTCATCGGCGGCGGTCTCCTCAGCCTCCTCATCGGGGACCTCCTTCTCGGTCTCCTTGAGGACGTGGAGGTAGATGGGGTAGGAGATGAACTCGGAGTGCTTCTTGATGACCTCCTTGATCTTGGCCTCGTTGAGGTACTCAGTCTGCTCATCCTTCAGGTGAAGGATGATCTTGGTACCGCGGCCGAGCTGCTCGCCCTCGGTGTCGGGGCGAATGGAGAAGGTGCCGCCGGCAGAAGACTCCCAGATGTACTGCTCGTCATCGTTGTGCTTGGAGATGACGGTAACGCGGTCGGCGACGAGGTAGGCAGAGTAGAAACCAACACCGAACTGACCAATCATGGAGATATCAGCACCGGCGGTGAGGGCCTCCATGAACTGCTTGGTACCAGAGCGGGCAATGGTACCCAGGTTGTTGACGAGGTCCTGTGTGTGGTGTTAGTGTGTGGCAAACAAGCACGTGCGACGTGGTAAAGCTAAACTTACAGCCTTGGTGAAACCAATACCAGAGTCCTGGATGGTCAGGGTCTTGTTCTCCTTGTCGGGAATGATGTCGACGCGGAGGTCCTTGTTGGAGTCGAGCTTGCTAGGGTCCGAGAGGGACTCATAGCGGATCTTGTCGAGCGCATCGGAGGCGTTGGAGACAAGCTCACGAAGGAAGATCTCCTTGTTGGAGTAGACAGTGTTGATGATGAGAGACAACAGCTGAGAGATCTCAGCCTGGAACTCGAAAGTCTCAGACATCTTGGCGGGGGGGGGGGTATCAAAGCGTGACGGTCGTGATCTGGGGGCTGGGTCAGTCATAAGTTGCCAGGCGAGTGTTCGCTCATGTGGAATGTAGACAAGGAAGGAAGGAGCTTGACAGGAGCAGACTCGGTGAAGAAAGAGCACCCTGGCCAAGCCTCCAACGGCGTGCTGACTGGATAAGGCTGCCGTCCCAGCGAGTCGAGAGGAGGGGTCGAGCGGTGGTGGGATGAGAGGGGGGGGAGCTCTCAACGAGCCGGGGAGAGGGCTTACCTAAAGGGAAAATGCAAAGAAACTCTTGGGTCTAGAGGTTCAAGAGAATAGTAGAGTTCGCTGTGATGCGATGGGATGGAGAGTGATATGTGGGAGGAGAGTTAGAAGTTTGTGTTGAGAGGAGGGGAGAGAAGGAGAAAAGCAGCTGCGGCAGTCGGTCGTAAAAAAGAAGACCTGAAGCCCAAGCTAGAGGAGCCCCTGCGGCGCCTGGAGAATTCTATGCGATTCTATCCTTCTCGCACCTTCCACCTTCCAGACGCTTCTCTGATTCGCTTGCCCTGCCACCACGGCAACGAATGGTGCATGGTGATTGGCCGAGATGTGCGGGCGCTGTGGGAACACGGACGAAAAAAGAGACGGTCTAGTAGTTGCCTCCTTCTGATCCCTTGCCTTGTCTGGCCTTGTGCTCTTCGATGCAGTTCTTTATTGTGGATTTCCCGCTGCAGCAGCATCAATTCACCCATGGCGGGGTCATGGCCTGGGAAGCTCTCGTGGATTCCAGGTAGCTCTGGCAGTCGTCCTTGAGTCACCGCGACGCCTCCAGACTGTCACTCCCACCGTCCGATAAGACCTCTTATCGCAAGGGCTGACCTCCACGAGGCTGAGGGGCAGTGCCTGGACCCCGGATTCCAGGGCATCTGGTCCAAGCAACAATAGCCAGTCGGTGAGGCTCTCAGGCGGTCTAGGCGCTGGTCCAGGCACTGGCCCAAGCACTGCGGGCCCCCGCGTTGAGCATCTGCCACATCGATCTACACTGGGCCAGAGGATATCGATGCTCATGTCGTCTCCCAACCACCGATGCAATCAAGCTGATGAAGCATCTGCCTGCCATGACTTCAGTTGACAATACTGCTTCCTGATCCGGGCGTGACTCGTTGATAGTTCATGCCGTTGCGGCTGGGGGATGCCGTGACACGTGCTGGGCTATGGTTGTAGAGCGAGGGCAGTTTGTTGTGTACTGTATTGACTACTTCAGACCAAGGTCATGTTTTTGGTGGCAAGTTGCGCGTGTGCCCACATGCAGACAGACCACAAACGAAAGTAGTAGAACGTGGAATGAGAGTCAGGTTGTTCGTCCCTCCGACCTGCAAGTCGATTTATGTACCACGCTCCTCTACCCCGGATCAAACACACAACCTTGATGTTGTTCGCCTATTAGTTCTATGACATGTTTCTTGCTAGGGTCTCTGGTAGAGCGGTAGAAGCCGCTGAACGAGGACAAATTATTCGACTAGACGTGAATACAGGTACACCATGACCTTGGGAACAAGTAACCCGACGCAAAGCCAAACCTCGCAGAGACAGCGGGACCATCATTGTTGCGCCTCTTCTGCCATGTCAAGGCAATCCTCATTATACATTGTGTTGTACATTCTATGAGCCGATTTCACAACCATCTATCACGAACAACCGAGCCCCTGTACACGCCCCGGGCCCAGCAGGGCTACTCACTCCCCCCCCTTGACGATCCCATCGCCAACACAGCGGTACCGCCGATCAGCGTACACGAGCCCAAACTCATCCTCCCCGTCCTCCTCCCCCTTGATAATCTCGACAACCTCCCCAACGACAATGACGTGGTCCCTCACCCTCACGAGCCCCTGCGCAGGCGCATCGTCGAGCACCCGACACCGCAAAATATAGAGCACGCCTTCGCCCCGGAGGACGGGTGCCTCGCCTCGCATGTCGGCTGTGACGGGGGGCCCTTCGCGCCCGAGGCCGGAGAACACGTGCTGGCCCTCGGCGTTTCCTCGCGTGAACCAGTCTGCGACGGCCGCGCCGTCGGTGCCGCCGCGCAGGACGTGTATGTTGAAGCGCCGCGCGCCCTTGACGGCGGTCAGCGTTCGACTCGGTGTCGCGACGTTGAAGGTGACGAGGGGCGTGGGGTGTAGTGTTAATGAGGTGAGGGAAGACATGGTCATGGCGCGCGGTATGTTGTCGGCGGGATTCGTCGCTGTGCAGACGACGACCGAATGCGGGAGGAGGCGCATGAGTCCGCGAAGCTGTTCGGAGAGCGCAAGGTCCGTCGTCGAGGAGGAGGCGGGGTGGTAGGAGGGCGGTTGGGGGGGCAGGGTATGCCATGTCGAGGGTCGACGGGCGGAGGCACTGAAGGGGCGGGACGCTGCGAGGCTGTTAGAATCGAAGGGCTGAATCGTCTCTCGGAGTGAACAACATACTGGGTATGCAAGCATCACGACGGTTTACTCGTTGGAGTACCGAGCATGATGAGCATGTTGAGGCACGTGCAATGGCACGGCGCATCGAGACTGACGAGGAGGACCTGGGCGCAAAGCCGAGGACATGAAGGAGGCTCATCGCATGTTACGGCTCGCCGGTGCTGGAGCGAACATTGCTCGAGGGAGCCGAACGTGAATAGAAAAGAAGCCTCGTCGAAGGTCAATTCGTTGACTTCAAATTGCCATGCCCGGGAAGCATCGGGACAAGCTGACCGGATTGTACACCACGGAACTTTTTGCATCGGCGCCGTCATGCAGCACCGAACCGCGAGGTTATCGATAAGACTCGAAAGTGGATTCGTGCCGATTGGATGTTGCAGTGACTTGAGTGGTTGGCGGTGCGTGCGCAAGGTGTGGTCTCGGTCAGCCTCACCGAACTGACCCTGGGAGTCGGGAAATTTTGTGACCACCCGCAGCTTCACCATTGAGCTCCCATCAAACCTCCAGTCGCGACGCACCGCCCTTCGACTGCCATCAGTGAGCGTCTTGCCCGTTCCGTCACCTACACAACCACCACACCGACCTCGCCCGTCGAGTGACCACAGGCTACGCAATGGCTTCTCTCCCCTCCGCCCTCGCCCGGCGCCCGCTCCTCCTTCACACGACGACAAAAACCACAACCGGCAGCTTCCTGCCCACGCAACCAGCACACCTCGCCGCCCGCCAGTCCCGCGCCGCGACCTACATCCACCGCCCCCGCCGCCCCTACACCTTCACCCAGCTCGTTCAGCTCTCGGACGGCTCGACCTTCACAGCGCGCACCACGTCCCCGGCGCCCCTGCACCGCGCCGACAAGGACTCGCGCAACCACATCCTCTGGCAGCCGTCGGAGAAGACGCTGCACAACGTCGAGCTCGACGAGGCCGGCAAGCTGGCGGCGTTCCGGCAGAGGTTCGGCCGCGGCTTCGACCTGCTCGACGCCGCCTCGGAGGAGGCTGACGCGCAGGCCGCGGGGGACAAGGGCAAGGGCAAGGGCAAGAGCGATGGTGCCGTTGAGGAGGTCGACGAGGAAGAGGTGTGGGACATGGGTGATCTGATCAGCGGGTACTCGACGCCCATGGAAGAGCCCAAGGCACCGGTATTCCACAAGAAGACGAAGGGGAAGAAATAAGGGGTCGGATTCGGGATGACTGTCCGGAAAGGGGGGGTCAAGAAGGGGTTACGAGCTTGATCTCATGTATAGCACGATGAACAAGGTCACGCGGATGGTTCCTTGTCCCAAAAGATGGGATGGCAGACAATGTAGGAGGGAGACGCTCATTGTGCGATTAGAAGGTCCAGGCCGGACTCTACTGTCATATATGTACAACACCAACACCATTGAAAACGACCTAATTGTTTGTCCACTTCCTCCCGACGCCCCCTCTTGTCAGTGCATCATGCCAGAGAACCCCCAATCTCACGAACTCGGGTGGAGATGAGGCTTGTCAAACCGCAGCCAGCTAACGATACGCCGGTTGCGCGACACCGGCAAAGCTGCCCAGCGACTCGAATCGCACGGCGGACCCCAGAAGGACATGACCGAGGTGCGCCGCGGCGCCATCTTGGTCGGCACCTAATCCGAGTCATCATTGATTGTCGCCCGAGCCCGATCAATTGCCGTGTCACCGGCCGGCTTGTTGCCTTCTGTCACAGGCGGGCGGTAGAAGACCGTCTCGTCGTCGTCGGCGTCAAGCTGCATGAGGAACGTCTCCCACTTTTCGATCAACTGCATTTCATTAGCCACACGCCGTATTTGGTAACGCCCAGTCAGAGCAATGACTTACCTCCTTCTGCGCCTCGACGGCGCTCTCCAGGAACGTCTCCACGCCGCTCTTGAAGTCCTCGACCTTCTCCTTCTCGAAGCGGTCCAGTTCCGCCCGCATCAGTCGGCCCATGTCCTCGAACAGCATGCGCGCATGGTGGCATTTGCGCTCAGCGTCTGCGACCTCGGCGCCCATCTGGTTGAGACGGTCCTGCTGGCTCTTGCCCTGCCTTAGGAGCTTGTCCTGTGTGGTCTTCTTCTTCTGCATCTCTGACTCGGCAGTGTGCCATGAGTAGAAGGCCTTTTGCCGCTGCGCAAAGGCCTGTTTAACAGATCCGATGAGTCGGATGTACTCCTCAAGAATAATGCCAAACGTGAGCACATCCTGCTGGGCCTGACGATCGTACACATCGCGAATCGTAAGCTGCAGCTCTGAGAGGGCGTCGAGAGGGCCAGAGAGCGAGGGCGAGAGCTCGACGGTCGAGAGGGCGTGCAGGGAGGCGGAGAAGTCGCCGGCCGCCTCGGCCATCATCTTCCTCTGGCCGACCATGGTCTCCATGGCTTTGAGTAGGGCGCGGAGCTGGTTCTCCAGCGCATCGAGGTAAACCTTGCGATCGTGGAACCACTGTATCAGTTAGCCTGGCAAGACTGGCGATTCGTCATTGTCACTCACGTCATCCTGCTCGACAAACTTGCTGCCGCCGCCGACGCTGATGCCCAGGCTGCCCAAGACACCCTTGCTTTCTGTGGGGATGGGCTCTCTCCGCTCCTTGTGCTTGATGTCGACGTTGAAGGACTCGCTCTCGAGGAACAGCTTCAGGTCGCCGTCGAGCTGCAACGTAGGGTGCGCCGCGATCTTGTTGAGCATCTTCTCCAACGCGGCGCGGCGGCTCTCGACAAAGTTGGTCTCGAAGCGACCGACAGCCTGCTTCTCTGGGGGCGGCGGCACGACGATGCCGGGGTTGTTCCCGTGCAGTGTGTTATACAGCCACAGGAAATCGCGGTACCGTCGCTTCACCTCAAACTCGGGCTCCTTGTACGCCTTGGATGTTGTCTGCGTTGTCAGCGACGAAACCAGCATGTCGCCTCGTGGGTGGCAGCTTACCTCAGTCCGCACGGCATACTGCACGTGTGAACTTGTAAAGTCGCCGACCTTGTGGGGATCGCCGACGGAAATGTGGAAGGTCGGCCTGCTCGCCTGTTCGACGCTCACGCTGGGGTTGGTGGTCGTCCGAACGGCGCTGGGATGGGCAGCCTGAACAGGAGGCGGCGCGCGAGGGCCACTTGAGCGGTTGTAATCGTCATCCGCATCGTCGACACGATGGGGGTCGGCGGGCCCAGCGCGGCGAGTCTGAGAGGGCGGCATGGTGGTGCGGATCACCATCTCCTCCTTCTGGGGCGGGACGGGAGGCGCATCCTGGCCGAGGTCGGGAGTGCCGGGAGTAGCAGGGCCGCCAAGGGGGCCCAATGGACCGAGAGGGTCGTCATCGACGGCTTCGAGGCGGGTTGGCTGGGCTACCATGCGGCGAGGAGCAGCGCGTGAGGGGCGGGTCGAAGAGGTGCTCGGAGCGGAGGGCTTGGGTGCATCATCCTGCGATTGGGAGGTTTCGGGTTGCGAGGTTTGCGAAGGCGCCGATTCGCCCCAAGGGGATTCTTCGAGAGGATCCATGGTGGCCCGGAACGTGACGGGTGAGGAGGGTTGTGGGATGTGCAGGAAGGTTGGATGTCAGCACAAGAGGTGGATCGGAATGAAGGTCGCAGCGTGGGGAGGATGTCGTTGCGATGTACCTCATCCACCCGCATTGCCATGGTGCCTGGAGCATTACGCACGAAGGGGGGCAAGTGCCTGGGGAAGCTGGTGCCACAGTCAGCCACACAGGACCGACCTTCGCACAGCCACATGTAACCGACCTCATCGCCATCACCGTCTCCTGCAACATTGCAGGCATTACATCCTCTCCATTCTCACACTTCAGGAGATGGTTAGACCTGAATGAGATTGACAAATTTTTCTAATAGTCTAATCATTCTTCAGAAAAACAGTCACTAAATCAAACAATGTAATATTACATCACCATGTCGATATGCTTCCACCATGACCGACTCTCCTCTTTTGAGGTGGTCACTTCAACGAGTTAATTTTGTCATTTAGTTCTCGCAGGACAGCGGTAGTGAACAATAAACTGTCTCTCAAAATCTCGAGCACTGCGATCGGCTAGCTTTCTGCAACTATCCGTTTTCAAGGCAAGACATATTCGGTCTTCCCGTCGACATGTCACGATGCCCTGATGGCCGTGATACTGATCCTGTCTGTGCTACTGAGATGGCTGCAACATCTCTCAGAGGCCGACCATCGTAGTCCATGCGATATTCCCTCCGTTCCCTGCTTCACCTCGTTCTCGAAACCCATCTCCATGCCAGGCTACAGCTGTCCACCCCAGCGACAATGACACCCACGCAGATGACCGACAGCCGCAGCCCCGAAGTCAACGGCGACATGACCACGATCTGGATCCCCCTGACGACGGCGTACCCCTGCCACACCTCCTGCTCCTCCCTCTTCTGGCGCCTCGACAAGGAAGACTCCCCCATCGTCGCATGGGACCCGGGCTACGAGCTCTGGGTCGACCCCTCGGCCTCCTGCCAGCCCGCGGCCGTCTCCTCCTGGTGGCACGCCGAAGACCGCGACGAAGACATCGTCCAGACGCGCTGGAGCCTCGGGCCGCTCGTCTGTCCCGAGGCCTACACGACCGCCACGACGAGCGACGCCGGCGCGGGCTCCACGCTTGTGGGATGCTGTCCAAGGTAGGTCATGCTCCTCCAGCTTCTTGTTCGTTCCGTCGTGGCCGCCACGTACCTGTTTCTCCTCTTCAGTACGTCTCACGCTGACCGCTCCAGCGGCTACGCGTTCATCACCTTCGTGGGCCCGAATCGCATGGGCCAGTGCATATCAGATGTCCGCCCCAACCAGGTCCTCACCTGGGCCGAGCCCGTCTCCGCCATGAGCGGCGCCTGGGAGTACACCAGCTTCGCGCCCCAGCTGTCGACCGTCGACGGCATGCACATCAACGGGTGGGTCTTCAACGCCGTCGACACCGCCGCCGCGACGGGTACCCGGACCGGCGGAGACGGCCAGAGTGCAGACCAGGAGGCGGGCAGCAGCAGCAGCAGCAGCAGCAGCCGAAGCGGCTGGACGTCGACGACCAAGGTGGCCGTGGCGGTCGGCGTGCCGCTCGGGGTCCTCGCCCTGGCGGGACTGGCTCTCGCCCTGTTCTTCTATCGCAGGAGGGGAATGACTTCGAAGGCCAAAGCGGAAGCGACGGATGATCAGGTCGCGAGCCTTCCTGTACCGTCCGTGTCGCCGCTCGACACGCAGGGCCGCGCCGAGAGTAGCAGCCCGAACGAGGTCGCGAGTGTGGAGAAGCCGATTGAAGTTCTCAGCGAGGAGAGGCGGACAGAGGTAGCTAGCGAGGAGAGGCCAACAGAGATGGTCACGGATGCCATGTCGGAGATGCCGGCGCCTCATGCCGTTGCGGAGCTTCCAGCGAGGACGTAGCTTCTTTTTGGTCATCTCATGGTATCCACGGAGACTTGAAGAGGCCACTTGACCTAAGGCACGGAAGTTTGCTTGGCTGCTGAATTGCTTCACTCCCTTCAATCTGCATCCTAGCCTGTTTTTGATCACGCCATCATTGTAACTCTGGCAGCCAGTCTATAGTGAAAGTGCCAATATGACCACAACAGTATTCCTATGAACGACTACCCCAACCATGGGCCATCCAAGGCCATACCCCTAACGCCATGCGAGCAGCCCAGTTTTGTCGCCCCAGTGTCCGCCGCTACCATCACCGCTCAGGATCATAACACCCGCCAGCTACGACGAGGTTCATCCTGGTGAACTGCACCGCCATGACGGGCGTCTTCTTCGTCGGGAAGGCACTGATCTGGTCGGGCGTGATCATCACCTCCTTGCCCCTCTTCTTGCCTCCGCCGATGCCGCCGGTACCGGTCCCTGATGACCCTTGGCCACCAGTAGTACCGCGCTCCACCGCCCCGCCCGTCGCAGGTGCGCCCTCGCCGCCCTCCTGAGTAGGCGCAATGCCCTGCTGTGGGACAGCTTTGTGACCATCGGCGGGAAGCTCGACATCCCAGAGACGAACAGTGCCGTCCTGGCCTCCGGAAACGAGAACGTTGGACTCGACGCTGAAATCCACCGACCAGATACCGCCCTTTGCGTGGCCTCTCGACCTTTTGATCCGCGTGCCCTTTTCAATGTCCCAGAACATGATGTTGCCACCTGTATCACCACTGGCGAGGATCTTGCCATTGGGCGCGCACGTCAGTGAGGAGATGTATTCGTTGTGGCCAGTGAAGACACGGACACAGCCGCCCGTGACGACAGACCACATGCGAATAGACTTGTCAGTCTCGTCGGATGCTGTGAAGAGGTAAGTGCCGTTGGGGTGCCAAGTCAGAGCAGAGATGCTGGTGTTGTGGCCGACGAGAAGGCGCATAGCCGAGGCGTGATCCTGCATCCAGAGACGAGCCGTCTTGTCCCAGCCGCCGCTGACAAAGTAGTGACCGTGCGGGCTCCACGAAACTCTCATGACGGGACCATCATGGCCCTTGTAGATGCACAGACACTGCCACAAGTCCAGAGACCACAAGCGAACATGGCCATCCGCAGAGGCTGAAAGCAGAAGCTTGGCTCCCGTGTCAATGGCACCATTGCCCTTGCCTTCGTGAGCGAAAGGAGTGTGGTTTCCACTTGCGATGGCATCGGAAAAGGCAACGTCGTAGACGGGACCGGAGTGGCCGATGAGTTTGCGATTGTTGGCCTTGAAATCGAGATCGTGGGCAGCCTTGGACTTGAGAGCCTTTCCGTCCAGAGTCCACACGCGGATGTAAGAGTCTGTAGTACCCGCGGCGACCAACTCATGGTCCTTGGAAAAGTCTAAGCATGAAACGCTAGAGTCTTGAGTTAGCATTATTCAGTTTGCCGAATGGATAACTCTTCTTACCTGCCGAGAGAGTTGTGGAAGGTGAACATGCAAGCGCTGATGGGAACACCGACGCCGCCTGTGCGGCCCTCAATCTTGAAGCGATCGCGGTTCTCCCGAACCTTCTGCATCTCCATGACGACGTCTCTCGCGCGAGAGGGCGGCAGGGGAAGGTCAGACCTTGACGGAGCATCGGCGCTCTCTTCACGCTTGATCTTCTGCTCAAACTCATCCGCGAGCGATGCCTTGCCTTCGGTGGGAGGGTTGCGTTGATCCGCCTCAGCAAGTTCAGCCCGCACGTCGTCGCGCAAATCTTCGTCCATCGGCATGGGTCCCAGACGCAACGCCACAGACGTGTCGAGCATGTCCCTGTTCATCAGGCCAAGAGAGATGCCAGGTATGCCTTCATTGTCGTCAATCTCATCCAGGGTCATGTTCTGCGTCCGGCGATAGATGGCCTCGAAGCTAAAAGGCTCGATAGGGCCACGAGCAGTCGAGTCAATCTGGCAAAAGGTCTGCAGGATGTAGATGATGACAGCGCCGCCGTTCTCCTTCTCTCGCTCGAGGAAGTGAAACAGGTTGCCGGTGACATGCTGATTGAGAGGGATGCGGAACTTGTTCTCAGTGTAAAGCTTGCAAGTCGCATTTTCCTTGAGATGGTGTGGAATGGAGATGGTGTCAAACGTCTTGAGATCATCGGCATGTCCGGCCTCGAAAAAGGGCCTCAAGCCAGTGAGGAGGTTCTTGGCATCATCAAGGTAGCCCTGGTTGATGAGCTCCATCCATGAGTAGACAAAAACGGGCCAGAGAAGCTTGCCGAGCTCGAACTGAAAGATGTCAGCCATGGGCACCTGAGGTAGGGAGGAAAGTGCGGAGTGCATACCTTGTAAATGTCCAGGCCATTGTCGACCCAGTCCCTCAGCATATTGAAGGCCTTCCTATACTTCTGAGGACCCAGGTCGTCGACCTTGGCCTGAATGGGCCGGCCATCGGGACCCAGATGACTGGATTCCTGCCGGAAGATGTTCTCAGTTCTCGTGAAGCCGCGCTTCAAGAGGTAGTCGGTGACCTCCAAGACTAAGTCAGCAGAGAGCAGGGATGGGCCGCGCATGGTGTTCGGTATCGAAAAGTGATGTGCGGCTTGGCGTGCAGATGAAAGAGCAACTCAAAGGAAAACTCACGATTTGGTTGAGGTTTTGGTTCGACATGGGCGGCTGTGCTGCGGCAGGAGCGGCCGCCGCTGGTGCTGCTGTTGCTGCGACGGCTGTGCCTGGTGTTACAGGTTGCTGCGACGGCGTGAAGTTGCTCTGTTGCGGTCCAGCGCTGGGGGGCCCGTTGCCTCCTGGCGGACCGCCGGGGGCTCCAGCGCCCGACATGATGAATGATGATGGCGGTGTTGTTTGTGAGTGGCTGCCTGTGGTGATGTAGCTCAGTCAATCGCAGCTCTCCGAGGAGGCAGAGTGGCCGGGTGGGAGGCTCAGTCAGAGTCAGACCAGAAGGCAGCGTGTCAACGTCTGTGAACTCTGGTTGCACAAAGTAGAAAGCTCAGTCTGAAGGTGTAAAAGAGAGTCCAAAGCTGATTGGTTCGTGAGGCGGAAAGAGTCTCGTAGTGATGAAGCTCTACAATGTCGTTGAATGAGCGAGGCGCTGGGATGGTGGATGAGAGCCCAGTGGATGAACGCCAAACACGGATGCAAGGATCGTCGCGTTCCAATTTCCCCACACCACCCCGCTGTGTGCATACCGAGAGCTCATCGAAAGGCCAATGCGCCTACTGCGACCTCTGCCTCGCCAACTGAATTCGACGCATCTATCCGTTCTTCCACCTCTCACTGAGCAGCATCGTGAATCTCATCACTGGCATTCATTTTCATCACCAGAACCAGGCCGACACACACAGATACTTCCCCTACACCAAGGGACAGTTCAGCCATCATGGACGACGACAGCGCCATGCAAGACGCCACCCCACCAGCGTCCCGAGCCCCGCCCACCGACAACGCCGACAACTCAAACACCTTTTCCCTAGAAGAGCGCATCTCGCAGCTCTGCGAAATCGACAAGGTCCGCCACCCCCTTCCCCTTCTCACCTCGGCAGAAGAAAACATCATCTTCGAATCCAAGCTGACGCCAGACAGAACATCGTGGCCCTCATGTCTCACACAGCAACAGCCCTGACCTCCCTCTCCCCGCAACCCCACATTCCCCAGGCCCAGCAGACCGAGACGTTCAAGTCCGCCATGGACGGCCTCCTGTCGACGCTGCACACGGTCGATGTGCGTATGAAGCGCCAGATTCTCGCCCTCGAGGAGGCGGGCATCATCCGCCTGCGTCAGGACGCCAAGGTCATGAACGAGGACGCCAAGATTGTAGCTAAGCCGTCGCTCGAGCCGAACGGCGTCGGCGGCATCGGCGCCCTCGATGTCGGCTGGCTCAACAGCCGGAACAGCAAGGTCGAGAGGGACATGGAAGCCGAGCTCTGGGCGCGGATGCGGGCCTTGCTGGAGAGGCAGGGGGGGCAGGCTGTCCGGGGAGACGATGAGATGGAGAGTTAGCTGGGTCGCTGGGTCGTGGGGTCGCTGTTGGGATATTGGCCAGCGGGATGCTGTGCTCTAGTGTGCTTTACTTGTGGCGTTTTGGGATTTGAGCAGCACTTTAGCCGCCTGGTGCACGAGGCATGAGAGAATGATGGTATGAACGCACGAGTTGGAATCGCAATTGAGTTGGCGAGAAAAGCACATCATCATCACGCCAGGTCACAGGCACACCCAGATGACAAAGTCAAAGGTCATTACAACATGCAGGATACCCTGTGGATACGAATAATCATAACGCCTACTTGTGCAAGGATGCAAACTACTAGGAACATGAACGCCAACCTCATCATCGCATCATTATTACTCACGCCCCACGGAACACTTAAAAGCGCTTGACCGCCCGAACGAGGCCCACATCCGCCTTGGAGAAAGCCGCCCAATCTGGCGAGTATTGGAGACACTCGTGGAAAGCCGGGATCGTCTCAGGCACATTGGCGTCGCTGTAGTGACACTTGATGGTGCCCGATATGCCTGCTCTTTTTCGGAGCTCTTCGACGGCGTCCTTGTCAACCGGCTTATCGGTCTTTGAGGCTACCTCGTCGACCTTGTGCTGATCATTCCACTCCACATCCACGACCCAAGGCGATGTCCAGTCACGGCGGAAGAGCCTGAGGCTCCCGACGCCTGCATCGGGATATTGTCCCAGTCGAGAATCAAGGCCCTCGGAGCCGCGAATGGCAAAGTTCGAGACGGGCTGGTCAAAGATGACAGTACAGACCTTCGAGTCCGCCGCGTTAATCGACAGGGTAGCCCGGTTCTTGCTGTCGTCTGATCGTGTAATGTTGACCGACACTAGATGCTGGTATCTCTTATTGGTGACGGTAACCGTTCCATTATCTAGGCCCCCATGCAGCAGGGGCGGGACCGCGGACCCATCGTACGAACAATCAACAAGACCAGACCTGGCGTTCGAATCGGTGCAGGTAATCACCTTGCCTGACGTAGAGGGAAGCTCCCCAATGACCGAATGGACGTACTTGTCAAGACCTGTCAGAGAGACCTTGGTGGATCCATCGCTCACATCAATCTCCTGCACAAAGTAGATCTTGTACCTGTTGTTTGCAGAGAACGGGAAAGCAATGAGGTTGTAGATGAGCGTGCCGGCGAAGGCAGCAAAGAGGATGGTGGGAACATAGTAATGAACCCGGTGGATGAAAGGAGCAAGCGGCACGAGAATGACAATGCTGAGAACAGCAATAATCAGGTAGGTGGTGAGAACGCTGCCTCCATCGGCACCGCCAGCCTGTGTCGCGGCGACAGCGAAAAGCCCGATCTGTCCCCACAAGATGACATTGATCGGAGCCAGCAGGAGGAACTGCAAGATCCAAGTCCAGCCTGGCAGCCGGCCAGACCAGGGCTGCTCGTTGTCAAATGGTTTGTGCTTATCGGGACTGCTCTTTCTGGTAAACACAGACCGGTATGCTGTCCCAAAGGTCGATCGCACGCGACTGTCTCCACCAGCCCTGAGAGGTGTGGTCTCAGTGGGCTCGTGTTCACTATCGTCTCCGTCACTATCCTCGGCTTCATCGTTCGGTGTGTCCGCAGCGATCAGAGCATCATCATGGGGGAGCTCGCTGATTCTGTCGCGGACCTGGTGGTCGTCGTGTGCCCGACGGGCATAATCGTGCTTCTTGGTGAGACCGAACAGCTCAAGGAAGCTGATAACAGTCGACAGGAAAAGCGCAGAGTGCAGAAACACAACAGGATAGCCCGATGCGATCTTGAGACGGTCCTCCGTCACCGCCACCACAATAAGCAGGCCCCAACTGACGATGAAGAGCCAAATGTGAATGTAGCCCCGCTGCAGAGCACTTGGCCTGACAGCGCTGGACCCCTTCAAGGTCATCCAGAGGGACACATAGAATAGCGATAGCATCATACCCCAGCTAGGATGTGTGTCAGATATCAGACAAAAGTTTCAGAGCTGACAACTTACACTGCATATTCGCTGCTGTAGACGATCATAGGGTTGATCTTGGTGAGCAAAAAGGCAGAGGCGAGCGTAAGTGCACCTGAGAAGCCCACTGCGATAGGGAAGCGTGTGAACCCGCGGAAGCCGCCAATGGATACGGGGTCTTCTGAACCCTCGTTGTGAACATTAATCTTTCTGGAGAAGAAGTAGAGCTTGTCGTGGCGGTTCAAGATGAAGACCAGGATGGCAAGAATGAGAGGCGACACGATCAGAAGCGTCAGAGACCACGCGAAAAGTCCTCGGAGCCCAAAGACAGCGAAGCCTTTGCCGAACATATCGAACCAAACACCCTTGCTGGCGTGGGATCCGCTGGGTACCTTGCGCCTGTCGCCGTCAGATCTCTGGCCCGAAAACGTGTGCGTGTTATCCGAGAGGCTCTTGACGGCGGCGATCGAGTTGGAGAGCATATGCCAGAGACTTGCGGGGGAAGCATGGCGGGTATCATCCTGGTCAGTGTGGTAGCGGGGACGGGGTCTGTAAAAGGCAATGTCGAGCCCACGTTGGCCAAAGATGTCGTCCCAGACTACGAAGTCGGTCTGACTCTTGACAAGGCCCATGGAGAATCCGTCTGAAGCGACGACCAGACCGAACGGGTGAGGGGCCTTCTGGTACGCCTTGGTGACCTGCTCATCAGATGATCGGAATAAGACGGCACGGCCGCCGGCGCCGGCACCCTCCAAGTTGACAAATGTGGTAGGGAACGAGAACAGGGGGCTGTTCGCGAAAGCCTTGGCCCCCAACAGGCCATCTTCTTCGCCATTGTTGAAGAGGAGCAGCAGGCCGCGTTTCGGCTGTCGGCCCTGGGTCGTGAAATAGTTGAGAATCTGCAGAATACTCACGCATCCCATGCCATCATCAGTGGCACCGTAACCGGACGCAACCCTAGCTCAAGTTAGCTTCCTCGCGCACACAGCACATACGTGCAATAGCCAGTCTTACGAGTCGTAGTGGGCGTTGACGAGAACACCTCCTTTGCCAATGACGCGCACGTCATTCTTGCCGGACTTCCACCACTCGCCTTGTTCATCCTCGGTGCCACGAATGTAAACCAGTTTGTTGGTGCCCTCGAAGTATGTGCCCACGCCAGCAGTGTGATCGCCAAGCATGCCAATATCGGTCGCCCACGTCACATTGGCGAGGTTGTCATCGAAGACCGTCACGGATGGGGCAGAGGAAGAACGGCTGGAGAGCTCGAGGGTGACATCGACGTTTCGCTTGGAAGCGCTAAGAAACAAAGTCAGTCGGGCGAAAGACGAGCAAGACTACGGAAAAAAGCCTGACATGGTCTTGGTCCCCTGCACGGCACCAGTCTTTTCCAGGGTCCAGTTCACATCGTTGCGGTCGAGAATGGCCGCGATGCGCTCGAGGATGTAGTCACCAACACGTTCGTTGTCACGGCTGTTGTAGGGGTGGTAGTGTTTCGTGATCGTCGTCAAGTCGTGCCAGGCTTCGGTCAGATTGATACCGGGGGTCGGGGTCGGGGAGGACGGCGCGGGGGGCACGGTCTCATGAATCCACAGCAGAGGTACTAGGAGAGCAAGGTAGATGATGATGGTCCAGAAGGTCACGGGTCCGACCCGGAAGCCGAAGGGGTTGTGGCACTTCATGGCGGGCGTCAGACGGTGGACGGACGGCAGAGAGCCAGGTGCGTGAATGATGTTTGGTGGTAGTCCAAAAAAGAAGAGGCCGAGACGACGGGGTATGGCCTGGCAGAGAGCGCAGAGGGTGAGGAGGTTGACGGCACAGTCGACGTTGGAAGTGGGAGAGACAGAGGAGGGCGGGGTGGCCCAAGCTCCATTGCTGCTACGCTTGAGCGATGTCATCATAGGTAGGTAGGTGCCTAGGTAGGTAGCTGTCTAAGGCACATGCACCCTACCGCAGGTGCCGCAGGTGCTGCCTTGAGGTGGTTGGCCTGGAATGCGGGGCGAGGAAGCCACGCATCTGTCGCTATCGCCGAGGTGAACCGCTGTGATCCGCTGTGGACGTAGGTAGCGCCTGCATCGCATATGCAAGTCATGCCCTGTCTCCAGCATTCTCATGCACGCCAATCGGAGAACCTGTGATCGCGAGGCCCAGCGAACATAAGGATCACAACTGATCATTTCCGCAGATCATTCTCATCACAACATGCACGAGGTACAACGCCAACCCTTGAAAGTTTTGCGTTAGTCACTACATATTGGGTGCATACTGAAGTCAGTCTAATGGTACATTTCAGTGCCTCTCGGGCACTCCCAGTCATGATCGACTTGCACGGATCGCCGGCGCGGACTCTCCTCGAATTCTCTAGACTTGTTAGACGCCTCCGAAGCAAGATAGACGGTGCCTGAATCCTAAAAAGTCAAGACGGCCTGTCATGTCAAGAGGTCATCATCGTGCAAGCTCAACAGCCCTGCTAGTCAGTACATGGCGTCTTGTCCACGGTAGCGCAGGCGTAGGTCTGCTAGGCCGTCTCAAGAAGCCAAACGCTGTTAGTCCACTATAGCCGCAAGCCTTGTCGTTGGCCTCCCTCAAGCGCCAGGAGGGGGCGGGGGCGGCTGGTCGCTGGGAGGTGGAGGAGGTGCGTTGTCCGAGGGGGGCGGGGGAGGAGGAGCACCGCCTGCGTACTGCTGGATGAGTGCGTTCAGGTTGCCAGTGAGGTTAGGCGGAGCTCCAAGGCCAGGAGCTCCAGGTGGCGGGGGGATGCCGGGAGGAGCACTCATGCCGGGAGGAGCACCGTAGCCACCGGAGTAACCGCCGTAGCCTCCGTAGCCGCCTTGCGTACCGGGAGCCTGCTGCCACGGCGCCGCGTTCTGACCACCTTGACTGCCGTAGTTGTTACCACCTTGACCGCCGTAATAGTCGCCGCCGCCGCCGCCACCACCATGGCCGCGATGATCATCGCGGTCGCGGTTACGGTCACGCGCCCAGGGAGCAGCACCGCCGCCTCCACCACCACCACCGCCGCCGCCGCCGGAGCCGCCGTCATGGTTCGACTCGTTGCGTGACCGCCATGGGGCAGGCCCTCCTGTTGGGCCGCGCTGCCAGGGCTTGACATCACCACCTCTCTGGTCGTTGTTATACGAGCCAGGTCCGGCTTCGATGCGAGCAGGAGGAGCGCCATCGGCGGGGCCGCCGCCAAGCTCTTGCATGAGTTGCTGGGCTACGTCAGTACACTACTGCACACTGGGTCCGGGGATGTACATACCTCGTACTCGCGATCGACGGCATCGCCACCGTCGATGCGACCGGCAGGACGTGGGCCGGCGCCGTCGTTGCGCCAACTGGCCCCGCGCTGACGGTCAGGACAATCCCTGGCCATATGGCCAGCGTTGCCACAGACTCTGCAGATGATGCTGGCGGTGTAGTTCTGCTTCTCGGGGCAGTCGTACTTGCGATGTCCGATTTGACCACAGTTCTGGCAGGCCTGGTTCTCGTCGTCACGGAGCGTACCGTTCAGAGCAGCAAGCTCACGGAGCTGGTTACGCTTGAGCTCGTTCTGGCCTTCGGGAATGGAAGCAGCCTATAGTTGATTAGTACATGTTCTGGAAGATACGGGGACGCACAACGTACCGTCTCAATGACATTGTGAATCAGCTTTTTGGCCTTGTTGACCTTCTCCTCCGTGTCGGCCATGATGAGGCAGTGGAGGTCCTCCTCCTGGTTACTGGAATGGGCGGCGTCGGAACGGCCCTTGCCCTCCTTGACGGAGCCCTTGCCACGAATGGCAATCTTGGCGCCAGATTCGTTCTCCATCTTCTTCAAAGTATTGCCACGAGGGCCGATAAGTAAGCCAACTTCGGGGGGAAAGCTAAGTGTTAGTCTCTGTGTCAAGTAAGGGGCATGTGGCAGGTTAGGTCTCTCAAAAAGGCCAAGCTTGCCAACACGCCGATGGGGCGCATGGCAAGCCGGCCTGTTCCAGGTACGGGAAGGAAAGGAGGAGTGGTTAGAAGGATTAGAGGGTTAGCAATCATACTGAAGTTAATCTCTGGGTAATCGTTGACGGGCACGTAGACCTTCTCCTGGGTCTTGGTCGGCCTGCGGTAATCCTGGGGCGGGTGGTAGTTGGGGATCGTCTTCATGGCCTTCTCGATGAGTTTGTGGCGCTCATCCTCAAGCTTCTTCCGGTAGCGGTACTCGCGAGTGTTGATACGGCGACCATGGTTGTCGTACTGGGGTGCAGGAGAGGGCGATCTGTGATACTGTAAGTCAAGGGGATACCACGAGATCAGCGGGGAGGGGGGGACGTACCGGTCGCCGTCGGCAGGGACGACATCGTCGATGCGAAGCTTTTGACTAATTTCTTCGATTCGAAGATGCAGGGTGTACGCCTCGAGCTGTTCGCTGGTCATGTTGGCCATGATGGCCGTCGGAAGGCCCATAAGGCCAGCGGCCTTGTTCTCGGAGGCGTCGCCCCATCGGTTGCGCTTCTTGCGGCGCCGCGGGCCATCGGCATCGGTGCCTGTGGTAGGAGTGTCAGCGATGGAGATCTGCATTGTGCTATAGAAGCCGAACTTACGAGGTTCAGGACTGCGACCGCGCTTCAGTTCGGCACCACCAACTGCAGGGGCACGGTCGCGACCACCACCGCCGCCGCCGTCGTCTTCTTCGTCATCGCCAAAGCGACGCTTTCCCAGTGGGATATTATTCGAACCGGTGATGCCCTGGTTTCTCCACGACATGATGGAGGACGCGCGGTGGTTGAGAGAATGCGCGGGTCAGGGGAGCGTTTGTTGGTGGGAGGAGTGTTTGAATGCTGGCTGGGGTTGAGGAGCGGCAACTACCTAATGTTCAGGATGCGAATTTAAAATGGGGCCAATATACTTGTGAGCCAAAGGCAGTTAGCGCCATATGCTCTCCACCCAACTGTGAATCACGTGTTCCACCGAGCTATTCGTTACTATTGCGGGCGGGAGCGAATGAAGCTCAGTGCGATCCTGGATACCCTGCGTACAAAAAAAAAAAAGGAAAAAAAAAAAAAAAAAAAAAAAAGAAGGCACTGCTGGGACAGTAGGATACGGTAAATCAGATATGGTGACATGTGGATTGATTATTTGTACTCAGAAGCCGCCTACACTTCTCATGTTTCAGGACTCAAGACAATGCTGTTGAATTAAGTCCTATGTCATAGCCGTACAGCTTAGTTTTTGGCATCCTCCTTCATTCCACTCTGCACCCACTGCCTCGACTCGGCAGCCGCCTTCTCCAGCTCTTCCTCGCTCTTCTGCGCCGACTCAAGAGCGGTGTGCTTGGTGGGAACGTGGCGGCCCTTCTCAAATCCGGGGCGCTCAAGCAGCTTGTACAGCCACTTCTTGACGTGGGGGAACTCCTCAATGTCAATGCCGGCCCAGTCTGCTCATGTCAGCTCGGTTCATTCATGCCTGTCATCGGGAAGAGGGGCAGTACACGTCGCCTCCCCAAAACAACGAAGGAAAACAGGAGTAAGGGGGTTGAGAGAAAAGGGCACTTACGGGCAGCGGCGATCCAGCCCCAGCATGATATGTCAGCAACAGTCAGCTTGTCGCCGACGATGAAGCCGGACGAAGACTTGGCCAGGTGCGTGTCCAGAGTGCGATAGAGGCGGCGCGACTCGTTGGTGTAGCGGTCGATACCGTACTGGATCTGCTCGGGTGCGTAGCCTGCAAACTCGTCAGCGGCGCCGTCTCACTGCCTCGCACGTCGCGACGGCTGAAGGGACATACGCTTGAAGTGGTTGGCCTGGCCCTGCATGGGTCCAAGGCCGCCCATCTGCCACATCAGCCAGTTGGTGGTTTCCCAGTGCTCGCGCGAGCCGGCGGGGTAGGACACCTTGTGGTCCTTGTCGTAGCGGTCAACGAGGTACTGCAAGATGCTGCCGCTCTCGAAGATGCGGATGGGCTTGCCGTCATCGAACGAGTCTGTGAGAGCCGGGATGCGGCCGTTGGGGTTGATCTCGAGGAACCAAGGCTCCTGTCAGGTGGCATGAGTATCGACTGGTTTGCTTGCTTGGTCACATCTGCTCGGATCTCTTCTCACCTTCTGTGTGTTCTTGGAGATATCAATCTTGGTCACCTTGTTTATTCGAGATTAGCACGACTTCACCAAGCGCAGCTGAGTGACCAACTTGGTACGGAAGGCCGAGCTCTTCAAGCAGGATGGACGCCTTGATGCCGTTGGGTGTACCGGTGGTGTACAAGTGGATATCACTCTTGGGAGCAGCCATTTTGAAAAATTGCTTCGACAGAAGTCCCAGTCTAGAAGTCATGAAATGTGATAACGTTCAAATTGTCGTTATGATCCTGGTGGTGAGATCAAAGAGTACCGAGTGAAGCACGCTGGGGTGGGGTCAGGAAGAGCTGGACCGAATCCAAGGAAGAACGCGGTAGCTCTTATGAAAAAGCTCCAGCTCCCCCTCCCCTTTCTGGCGCCGCAACTGTTGGAAGAGGGACCACCCATGACGGTCCCAGTAAGTCACCTCTTTCCGGCCGGCACGACCATACCCCGCATGACAAAGCATCAAAAGAGACCGTATTGGACTTACTGTAGCATATCGCATCGTGGGTAGTGTCCTGGAACAGCGGGGCTTGTTGTGCATGTCGTCATGGCGATGCCCCTCTCCGAATTGGTGAGACCTGACATAAGGTCCTTTTGTGCATCACTTTCGGCACTAGTCGGATCTCGGACTCGGTACGACGAATTGTTAAGTTTTCACACTGAAGGTACTGGCGAGGGTCGTGTTCTGATGCACCGCAATCAGTACTTGACATTTCATTACCAATGTGCCGGGTCAGATGCATTACAAAGCAATCATTACTGTCAGCACTAGACCTGTCCAAGGGTTCAAGGCACTTCTCCCTTCTGACAATGAAGAACTCAACATTATTCAGCAAGTCAAACCTGAAGCAGAGAAATGTCAATTCGTCGTTTCTGTCGCTCTACTTGGATTCAATAAGCAGAAGTCATGAGCAGCGCTCCTAAGCGAGTGATTCCTCCACGCTCGACCACGTCCGTAGGGTATTTCATCCAACCAATCCGATGTCGTCGTCTTCTTCCCAGCCCTTTCTCACCGTGTTGCGACGTAGGCGCATCATCATCAGAGCCTCTGGAGCATCGCAGACAGGGTCCATTTTCCAGGAACCAAAACAGCCCGCTCTAGCACTGCGTGTGCCAAGTCTATCGACTACAGTTTCTACACCTGCAAATCGTTGTTTAGAGGGAAGCTTGGGCGTCATACCAGTCGCCCTGCACTGTTGCCTCCTCCAGCTTATGGCGTCGAAGGCAAGACAGCCTTGCCGTGGTCGACGATAAGCTGCTCGTCGATCCGTTTCTCAATGTCGCCGTACTCAAGCCTCTTCCATGTCTTGATGCGTCCTTGGTTGGTGTCAACGTCAAAGATCCGCACGCGGCGGTGGTAGCCGCCATAACCGGCATATCCGCCGAACCCGACGCCGCCACCGTAGCACATCCAAAGTGCTGGCTTCTTGTTCGCGTCGTTGGAAATGGCGCAATAATCGTTCACATGGTCACTGAGAGAGTGTTAGTGGTATGACTATCGGGGTCTAGGAGGTGGTACTCACTGTCCGGCGCTGACCATGACGATTCCCTTCTCAACAAGAGCATCCCGGAAACCCGAGTTGAAGTTGGGTGCCGTAACGCCCTCCTTCCACTCGCCGACATACTGGTTGTCGCGTTCTCGGTACTCGGGCAGGGGAATATGGATGAAAGCAAGATCCATGTGCGTATGTGTGTACTCCTTGTGCTTCTTCTCAAGGTTGGATGCTGTGTTCTTGAACCATGTGATTTGGCTCGGCTTAATCCAGTCGTAGCCATGATACGTACGCTCGTTGGGCGAATACGAGTGTGAATCTAGCATGTAGATAGTCAAGGCTGAGTGGTCTGAGCTGCCGCGGGCCAGAATCTCGATGTAGTAGTTGCCAACGCCGTCAACCTCCTCCGGACCGGCTATCGAGAGAGAGTACGGCAGGCCTTCCATGATAGCCATCTGGGTGGCCCTTGGAAGCGAGCCTTCATCGTCGTGGTTGCCGAAGATGGCGACGTAGGGGATTTTGCGCTTGACCAGGATTTGTGCAAATTTGAAGATTGCCTGTCACGCGTTAGCAAGATTCCATTGCCTCATTACCGAGGTACACGTACGGACTGGGCATCAGGCGCCGTTTCACCGTTCACCTGGTCGCCACTCAAGACCACCAGGTTCGGCTTCTCCTCGTCGATAATCCTTGTCACGAAATCAAGCGTTCTCGGGTCAGCCTCGCAAGGCCCCCCGTTGTAGCTATCGGGGACCGCATCACGGCATTTGCCGACACCGGTGCTCAAGTGAAGGTCGGCCAGCTGCATAATCTTGAACTTGCCGTTGTCGGGAATTCGAGGTTTGGGCTTGATGGGATCTTTGGCTGGGCCTCGGCGAACGGTGAGATGGGAGACGGGCGTGTCGCTACTGATTCCAAGAAGAAAGGGGGTTTTGCCAGCGATTGACCAGCCGTCACGTGCCTCGACGGCATCATCGCCAAAGAGTACGTCGACAGCAGTGATGGTATCCTTGGAGTCGCCGAGCTTCTGGTTCGGGGTCCGCTTCACCCAGAGGCCGCCAGGACGAGACTCCCAGAGCTCGGGATCATCACCCTTGGTGCCGGTGCTGGTGGGGTTGAGTCGGCCGACGGAGACGTCGAGCACAATGCGATCATCGGGCAACAGCTCCTCCTCTTTCTTGCGCGCAACGTGTAGGTACGCGTGTGATGTCCAAGTCTTTCCGAGGTAGAGGTCCTTCTCAACACGCTGCCACACTTTAGGATCAAGCTTGCAAGAGGCGAAGGGGTTGACACTGGAGCACTGGGCAAGTGTAATGTCGGTGACGATCATGCCATGGTTGTGTTGGGGCATGTAGTTGTGGATGGACTTGGGAAGCACCCTGAAGTTACGGTCGAGGAAGACGATGAAGCAAAAGGCGACCAAAGTCGCCCCAGCAAGCTGGAAGATGGATCGAATCTATCGCGTTGGGGTTAGGATAGTTGAGCATGTGACTGGGACGGGAGAGAAGGGGGGTTCGGCGGTGCGGCAAGGACATTTTCTTGGACGTACCACTTTGCGCGTCATGCTGTTGGCGCTGGGACGAGGCGTCTCCGGCTAGATGCAACATTTACAAGTAAGAAGAATTGTGCGACGAAGGGCGCGCGACCACGTTTGATCAAAGGGCCAAGACGTTGGGCAGGCCAGGGGACTCGCAGCGAGCCTTCGTCGTGATCGGCCTAGGCCATATCCTAGCGAGATCGGCTGCTGAGTAGATTCGGGAGAGTTGTGCAGAAGGCAAAAGTATAGGGATCGTGGTCCAGTGGGTTTATGTCACTGGGAGAGTCGTTCAAAGGGAAGAAAGGTCGGGTCGGACACGGCGTTTTCGCGATGTAGGGCAACGGTTTCTGGAGCAGTCAGAGGAAGAAGAAGAGTATCGAACGGTAAGAGTGGAATCAAGCGGCCAACACGGCGCCAACGGGATGCAAGACGGAAGGAAGACTTGAGCCAGGAGCAAAGGTTCAGTTCTCGGCGACGCCCACATTGGTGGGCATGTCATGCCAAGCTCTCCCTTTTGTGGAGCCGGCGAGCGAGGACCGCTATGGAAGGTGCTGGCGGGGAGGCTGTAGAGGCCCAGCTAGTGTAGGTCTGGCCCCTTTCGGCCTGCCACCGCCGGGGG